TATTTTTATACAAAAAAAGGTTCTAATCTTATATCTACAATATACTAGATATAAAAAAAATGAAAGTTTCACCTTAGTGAAAGATGATGATGTTGGAATTGTTATATTTTTATGTTTCACCAACTTGAAATGTCTATGATCGTCTATGCAATGAAATAAAATGGTAACTACATTCCTGTTGTGTTTGCGCTACTTCCACTTTTATCAAAATGTGGGATCTGCTTATTGATGTGTGCACTTCCCAAAGACTAACTTTCTAGTCCGAGGTAGATCATATTGACTTTGAATGTGCAATGCATACTGCTGTTACAAAAATTTCATGCTGCTACAATCAGTTGTTGCAGGTTTCATTTAGGACAAAGTTCAAGGTTCTCCTTTAACTGACCACCCGCTGATTGATACTTCGACACAAACGAAGTTTGTGTAGATAAGATTGAAACAACAGCAGGGGTCCAGATAAGGTACTCCTTACTTATTTTCTCGAAAAAGTAATAATTTAGTTTTTCCGGAATCGTTACTATTTTCTCGGAAAAGTAAGGTATTTATTTTTGGAAACGTAGACTTTTTTTGCGGAAACGTCATCTTTTTTTCCCCGAAAAGTAATGCCAATTTGCGGAAACGTAAAACGCCGGTAATATGGGGTTCAACAATCAAGCTTATCCAGTTGTCCAGTACCAGAGACAATTTAGTCAAACAAGAAAAGCAAAAAAAAAATATATGTCTGTTTACGGTTACACGAGGGCCAACCCTAAGTCATTTTATTCCCAGCATAAACCCCCTTACAAATAAGCCAGCTGCACCGTATCAGTATTTTTATCAATAAACTGCATAACTTCAAATTAACATGTCACTTTTATTAATCCCATGCTGCTAGATAAAGCTTCATTAAATGAGACATGATCAGAAATAAAAATAGAATTCTACCTATGAAGATCCTTTCTTTACAATACAACAAATAAAAGATAAAAAAGGGGGGGGGGAGGGGTTAGAATATGAAAAATTATCTCTGATTTTGTAATAAATTATTTATTTGAGATTGAAAAGTGAATGAACATTAATCATTTGCAACATTCTTACAGATAACTATATAAAATGTTTATTTAAAACAAAATCATACCTTTAGGATAAAAAAGTATATCAAAAGATGTACTAAAAAAGTTATTCTTCAAATAAAAAGTAGCTGAACACATATTTGAACTCAGGTATTTGAAACACTAACAAATGAAATAAAATGATTTGTTTCAAATACCTGATCAAATCTGCTACATATATTTTGTCTAAAATATACACATGAGTTTTACATTTATTTCAATAAAAATTATTATCTACTTCATAAACAAACCAGCACTTGTAAATTAAAATTAGGCACATCCTTGTTTAAATGAAGTGATCAAAAATGGAAATGAAATCTAATATAAATTTTGTAGAATATTGATTTTTTTTTTAAAATGTCAATTTCACAGTGTCAACAATGGCCAGAAATATATAATTTTATTTGGATGAAGAATTCTACTGAGATGGTGTTGATGTGGGCATTTTTTCTTCCTTTTCCCTTTTTGTGTTCATTTGTCTTTTATAGTGTTCAAATCAAAGTTATTGCTGGCTAGAGGTTAAAAGTGGTACTCAACCTCACTTGTTACTGTCATTTTCAAACATTACTTAGCAATTTTGCCATTGAATCTCCAGTAGTAAATATATCTTACTACTGAAGATAAAAATATCTAGAGGGAAAACCTAGCCTTAAAGTTTTGGGTCTCTTTCTTATATCAATCTGTAATATAATCCATGTAATATGTGGCAACTTAATTAGATGCTGACAGATTTATGATCAATGTATAAGTGGTTTTAGATAAGAAATTTCTGTCTCATCTGGCTTATTTTGTACAGTGTAAAGTGAAAAATTAACTGAGCTCATGTCAAAAGTGAAGTTGGAGTTGCCAATAAAATAAATCCATTGCCTAATACATCTAAATGTTCACAATCATGAATATGACAGCTGTTTTAAGAAACTCGCGACTCTTGTGATGAAATAATCACTTTGCCACCATTTTTTTCCAACCAATAACCACGAAAATAATCAAATCATTAAACATATGGGTAAACTCGGCCCATGGACAACTCAGACAACGGCAAGATAGGCTGCACGACTAAAATCATGATGCAAAAAATGAAATGAAAAAATAAAATAAAATGGAAAAAACCGACCTACCTATCCTATTTTTTTTAATGATGTAGCCTTAATTAGATATAAGAAGATGTGGTATGAGTGCCAATATAAACAGACATATATATATTTTTTTGGCCTATATGCCAACTGAAACTAATCATGAACATTGAAATACAAGTATACATATATTAATCAAACTCTTCCTATTTTCTATAAGATAATTTTGTAATCTATAAGACTATGAATGAAATGATCCTTAATTAATGTTTGCCGTGATAATGATTTTGGTAGGATTAACATCTTCAGGGGTAATAGTAACATGTTAACAAGTCATTTTTATCTTGCATAAACGTCACAGAATGTGAGCTCCATACATAAGGATGCTGTGTATAGGTTACAAACAATTTCACTCAAAGGTATGAGTTAATTGACCACAAATAATATCTCTTATGTTACTTTATTAAATATACACTTTATCAGGGTCTATTTACTTGTAAGTCAGTGTTGTAATCATTTGATATATGTCAATAATTTAAATTGCTTGAAACAAAATTTCAAAATTAACCAGGCATTAAAATGTTGAAAAATATAATGCCTACCCATGTTAAAATGAGCATAGAGCATGCGCATGGCTTGATAGAATTATTTTGATTCTAATAGGAAAATTTGGAATTTTACTTTGAAGCGGACCTATAATACACTCTCGAAAAGCAGCCATTTTGATTTGATGAACCAAAAATGTTATAGAAAATTAACATTTTAACAATAAAAAATGAACAGATACATTTAAACTTACTTTTAGAATGATTTTATTTAATCATGTTAATTTCTTAGAGAGCAACATCATAACAAGTGTCCATTTTGATCATTGGCATTGTTCAAGAATTCAGCTGACGTTGCAATTTCAATTGTGACATCAATCACTTACAGCCCATGTTTTATTGGAACTAGAACATGGCTTTGTTTCCAAAACAAAAGAAGAACATCATATTGGAATGAAAAATGTACACCAGTTCAAACAAAAATTAGTTATTTAATTTTATTTTTGAAAAAGTGCAGTTTTCATGCCTCCTGGAAATCATTAAATCAAACTTCAAAAAAAATATATACATGTAAACACCATCTTTTGAACATTTCTACTTCCAATCATGTCAAAATTATTTAATTGAAAAAAGAAAACATTAATTAATAAACAGTGCCTCTTCTTAGAAATATCAATTTTGAGAAACTTTCCATCATTTTTGGGAAATTGATTACCTTTTTTTTAAAATTATATTATAAAAAATGAAATAAAATCATTATTCTTTAGTATCATATAATTTTTATTAAAAATCAATAAACGATCCGAAGATGAGTTAGAAAAATTGCATAGAAACTCTCCCAAAGGCAACCGTTTACAAGTAAATTTAGGGAGACAAGCTTGCATGTAAAATTTTGGGCCAAAGTTGTGATGGTTGTCTCTGAAGGCGTTACAGGAACTTGTATGAAGAAAAAAATAATGAAAATCAGATCAGAAAAATGTAGGACTACTGTAACTAAAACAATTGGTTTAAGTTACATGAAGGTCAGTTTCTCAAAAACTGTCAGCAATTGGTAAACTGTATTTAGTTTATGGAAAGATTGAATGGTGTACATGTCCATTTTTGCAGGTTATAGATTTGACCTTGACCTCATTTTCATAGATTATTTATAATGTGAAATTTATGTGATACTCCAGGTATACCTGTAGTAAGACCTTGATCTTATTAATAGACTTTCAACTTAATTCAATCATGATCAGTGAAGCAGACGAGACATTTCAGTGTGTGCACTTTTATTTTATCATGGAAGATGTCAGTAGTTTTTACTTCTCAGGGACTGTGCTGGCCTTCAAAAAGTTGTCACCAGACTAAAATAGCCTGCATCAAATTTTTGTCGCCAGTGTTAAAATATTTGTGCCAGATTCCATATCCCCCTTTTATCAGACATGCATCACATAATGTTATGCCCTCATATGAAGTTGATTCTTGCATGTGATATTTCAAAATGTTAAAATAAAAGTTTATTTCCTCATCATGAACTCTTCCGCAAGAAGCCTTTCTAATTTAATAGCAAGCACAACAGAACATGGAAGTTTATTTACATTGAAACAGAAAGTGATACCCTTTTAACCTCTTTAACCTCAAAGAAACAGCAAAAATTATTCACTTTGTTTTAAAAAGTAATTAAAACACCAGGAAGATTTATTGTAATCACTGTTTTATTATTTTTCAAAGATAAGAATATAGAACTATACAATAATACATTTAAGTGTAAGATACAAAATGTACATGGTGGATAGTTGTCTTATTGTCAATCATACCACATCTCCTTATTAGTCCCCTACCGACGTACGTCCCAAAATTGGTTTCCGTTCTCTTACTTTAGTTTGCCTTAACCAAATGTTATGAAACTTATACACAATTATTACAACAAAACACAGATCAAGTTTGAATTTTGGTGGCGTCACTTTAACCGTTCTAGAGTTATGCCCCTTTATAAATGGAAAATTTTAGATTTTTGATATTGGACCATAACAGGTAAAAGTCTAATTTCCAATTTTTCAGTTCTTTGACAAAATTCATTCTAGATCTGTGTCAGAAACCTATATATGCTGTGTCAAAAATTAAATCACAATCCAAATTCAGAACTGTATCAAGCTTGAATGTAGTGTCCATACTTGCCCACACTTTTCAGTGTTTGACCTCTGCAGTCGTATCAAGCTGTGTCCCGTGGAGCATTTTATTTTGTTTCAGGGAACTGGGTTGAGAACTAGAGGAGAATAAATGTTTAAATATACAATTTAATGTTACAGGTTAATATGATGTGGTTGATCAAGTAGAATGTTATGGATAACGTCATTAAACAGGGTTACTTGAAGAAATCCAGACCTACAGCTCCTGGAAGTAATCCAGCAAATAGCTTTCTTCAGGTTGGTTTTAAATATTAAAATGAACAATATTTTTTCATCTCTTTGGTCATTAGTCTTGTGATGCAATGGTTTAGATATGACTTTAATCATATCTGTCTAATTGTGTTAAAACAGTTATCTTTTTGTTACATGAAGGTTTGGATTTGGGGATTGTTGACCATGACTCAATGGGCCAAAATAGTGTGGTAACTTATTTTGAGAAAGAAAGATGTTTTTTATTTAATGATTTTTTCGTGTATTTTTATTAAAACTTTCAGGAATGTCCAATGCATTCAAGATGGCTCTTACTATTTCTGAGATTTAATGTGGTAAAAATGGTCAAAAATTATTAATGTGGTAAAAAGAGGTGTTTCAAGAATTTCATAGTATCCAACAAATTATTGTTCATCACATGCCAAGGTATAACATGATACTGTGTACGTACTCAACACACTGGCTTTTTATTTGCACATGTTCAACTTTCACTTGTCAACCTAATGGATTAAAAGCATGCTGCTCCCAGTGTAAACCATTACTTTTCATGATGTATTTAAAAATCACTAGAATTTTATGTTTTGTTTCATGGAAATACTGGGCGTCCGCCCATCCGTCTGTGTGTCCGTCCTGTCTTGTTAGCGCTCTCACAGGTACAATTCTTGCCAGATTTTTATAAAACTTATACAATAGGTTAATATCAGAAATATCTCGGACAAGTTTTATAATGGTGGATGATCGACTCTTTTTAAAAGAGTTATGCCCCTTGGAAATATTAAATTTATGGAAAATGGCCTCGTTAGCTCTCTCACAGGTACAATTCTTGCCAGATTTTTATAAAACTTATACTATAGGTTAATATCAGCAATATCTCTGACAAGATTTATACTGGTGGACGATCGACTTTTAAAAAAAAAGTTATGCTCCTTGGAATTATAAAATATGTGCAACGCGGGGGACATTGGAACTGTGTTCTTTTATTTGATTAGCAAATATCTTTAAAGTCTTTATGCTTTCTTTTACAGCTTTTTGAACCAACACGATGGTTTGTGTTTGGTCTGCGAAATCGTCGTCCATATTTAGAGTATTATGAAAAAGAACAGCATGTTTTCACAGCTCAGCCAATCAACAACTTTGATCTTTACACATGTAAAAAAGTTACTTATACTCTAGGTCGTAACAACAGAAACTGGACATTCTGTTTATTTCTAGAAGACAGGGTTCTAGAATTAACAGCAGATTCAAGGTAAACTTATTTATTGCCATTATTATATCTAATTGTCTTCAAAAGTTACCTTTCCTTGCTTGTCTTTTCGTAAGCAATGTACTCTTTTAGGGTATTACTCATAAACTATAAAGTATGACTGTCTAAAATTATCAGTTGGTGTCCATTGTCTGTTGTGTTCCGTTATCATTCATCATCATTCCTCATCTTTTTAACTTCAAAAAAAAACATTCTCTTCTGAAACTGCAAAGCCAAATAAAAACTAAACTTAACCACAATCCTTAGGGTATTTAGTTTAGAAAATAAGTCTGATAATTTAGCCTGCCAACCAAAATGCCCATCAAGGCTAACAATAGAACATAGGGGTAAAATGCATTATTGTCTTTTATCTTGTGAACTGTTATGGATAGAGAAATCTGTCGGGGTTAGAAATGTTCAAAATGATGAGGCCTATCTACCTTTTGTTACGATAAAACTGTCTGACAACTCTTTATAGGAGTTATTGCCCTTAAATGAGGATTTTTACCAATTTTGTTTATGTTTATGTCTTATCTTGAGAACTGAAATAGGTAGCAAAAATGATTATTGCCCTTAAATAAAATATTTTTTTCAAAATTAGCCTTTTACCTAAATAAGAATAAAAGATATCCTTGTATTATATGTTTTTGTACTAATAACAATTTTCACTGCTTACGGTTTTCACTGTTGAGTTTTCATTCACGTGTGTACTCGAATTTTAAAAGCATGTTCTGTCGAATGTTTTTAGGTGTCTAGATTTATTTGTTAAGTCTTACTACTATTTTTTACTGTTTCCTATTACTTTACGATTTTCGTATGTCATAAATTGGTGTCATATGTTTTCGTATGAAGTAAAAATTGGACCAGTGCACGGACAGGAAATGACTATAAAATCCAGAAATGAGTGTTTTCTAAAGTCATGGTTCTGGTGATTGCTTGAATCATAAAAAAAATGTATTTAATACTTTTCAGTACTAAAAATATCTAAATAGCTTTTGGTTGATGTTTCATGTGCTGAAATTGTAACATTGTGAATTTTTTTTTTAATCAAGATGTACCGTAGAAAGGCTTGTATAGTCCGCGGTTTTATTCTCCAAAATTGGACCTTCCAGACGGGGTGCGGACTATAGAGTACAATAAGCAAGAAATAAGAGAAAAATTTCAATTTCGCGGGCGAGGTGGTTTGTTTACGTTCCGCCGTCTTTGTTATTTATATTGTAGAGGGCGCTCTTATCATTTTTCAAACTAATAATTTTAACTCATCCATATTAATAAGTTATTTCTATTCAATATCAAATTAATACTGATAAATATAAAAACTAAACCTTTCATTACAAATTTCTCGTTTCTTTTCAATGCATTGGTTGAAATAAACTGGTATCTGCTTGATTGAAACGATACAAACATAGTGAAAAAGACAACCGTAAACCAGCTTAGAATTTGTAAACTACAAAACGTAATCGGTTATTGTTCGTTCCGTTTTGGTGTTTCATACTGACTAATATGGTTTGTATTAGCTTAAGACCCTTCAAACATTAATATGATAGATATATTAAAGACTGTTTTACAAAAGGATGGAACTGTTTTACTTTCATAGTCGTATTATAGTGATATCTGTTATGTACGGATTTCGACTCTCACCGGTTAATTTCTTCTTTTACACGTGCTTTTTAAACTTCCTGTTTAAACATACACAAGTTTCTAAATTGTTTTTTAAGTGAATTAAACTTATTTTAACAATCATGAAGCGTTCTAGAATCATTTACAAGCAGTTTCAGCTTCTGTTTGATGATGGAAAACAGGGTTTTCCAAGAAAATACCGCAAACGACCGCACAGGATTTGAAATTACCGGAGTTTCATTAGACCTTTTCTAACAGTTACAAAAAGTTTTTTTACCTAAAATTTCGTGGGAAGAAGGGGGTGCGGACTATGTACCACTGCGAACTATACAAGCCTTTCTACGGTATACAAAAAATGTTTTTGCCATTGAAATTATTTTATTTTGGATTAACAGCAACATTCAGGTTGCAGTCTTGTAATTGACTGCTCCATAGGCTTACATGCAAAACAGCTGATCTTTGAAATTTTTTTAATATAAAATGCTACATAGAAAATTTTTTTCATGTGCATATCATGTATGTAGTAATGTGAAATTGTGATTTAATCGTGGGTCATGCCACGAAGAATAAGAAGTTATGTAACCCTGAAGTCAAAACTATTTTTTTCTACTTTCTGTTTGCTGTTTCTACTAGGACGCACCATTTCCAGTAAACATGATATCCTTTCACTTTCCTGGTTTGATATCCCCAAAGATGCAAGATTTTTTTTAAATCTAAATATATGTTTCAACTCAGCATAAACTTTTAATCAAACAGAAGAAATTGAGTCCAGAAAAAAATTCAGAATAAAATGGACTATTTTATTTCATGCCATGTTTTGACATGCACCAGAAACTGGAGTTGTAATAAAAGACTGGTACCTTTAGGAAACAACACATTTTAGTGTAACTCATTTTATGAGATTTTACGATTAATAATAATATTAACTTTATACATAGTACATGTAGTACTTTTATATTAAACTTAGTAAACTAAGTCTATAATTAACTACTGGTAACAGACATTATCATATATAGTAATATATATATTAAAACAAGTTGGCCTATTCTTCCTGCAAACATGGTAAGTCCATGACAAGGACAATAGAAAATACTGTGTGTCCTTACTGCTCTAACATCACAACAGAAACGTAAGTGTACCCAATGTTAGCAACCTTCAAACATACACTGGCCCCATTTTAAAAATAGTTAAATCACCACATTCTTTCATTTTTTGTGGATAGAATTCATGACAGACACAACCCACGTCACTTTCAGACATTTAACTCTCATGGTCATACAGACTGTCTTCATTGTCTGATCAATATATAACCTGTAAACCATTTGTACATGGTTTAGGTGATCATGAATTATAAGTTTCAAATTCATGATTATATTTTGATTGTACACACATTTCTTTCTTCTGTTTAGTACTAGATTTCTTTTTAATTGCACTACTACTTTTTTCTGTTTGTTTACAACACATTTGAAGAATTACTTTTACTAATTGTACTTTCAGACTTTTTTGGCTGACAGTGTACTTTGATACAATAACATTTTCTTCAGTTATTGCTTTACCAGGCACAATTTTTGACAAATATTTTCTGTTATTCTTTTTAACATTTTTTATTTGACATACCTTTTTCTCGATTGTGAAAAAATGCAGACATTATTGGGGATTCTGTCACAGTTCTGTCCATGGCAATGTCATATGTTTGTCTTGTGTTTCTTCATCGTCATGTACAGTGTCTGTCTTGTCTGGTTCGTCAATATGTACATTGTCAGTCTTGTCTACAATGTCAATGTCCATAAAGTCTCTGTCTGAGTGTATACAGTAGCTGGCAGGTACAACTGTGGGGGATACAGAGACTTGTCAAAAGGATATATACCTGTACGTCTAAACAATGACCTCAAATTGTCTACAGAAAGTCCTTTAACAAAGGTGTTTGTACATAGTTCACCAACATTGTACCTCGTAATTTTGCAATGATTTTCTCCCATGTATTTATGACAAGAATGGTTATAGATTTTATTGAGAGGACCAAAACAACCAACATCAAGAGATTGAAGTAAGTGACTGGTATGAATTGGAAGAACCAAAAGAATAATATAACATCTGTATATATAAAATGAAATTGAATTTGATTTTTTATGAATTATTTCCAGGGAGGTGATGTTAAGTTGGTGTAGGACTCTGGAACATACATTACAAAATTATGGAGCTTTAGTGAGTACATTACATTATAAATTTTAAATGATAACTTTTTAATTGCCTCATCAACTTTCTCAAATAGACATCTTAACGTAGTCCTGAACCCTACCTCCGATTTATTATATGGTAATGTCTACTCCCCACCCCTCTTCATAAAACTTTTCTTTGAATTGTTCTTACATGAAATGACCTGCAACAGGGTTATTACACCACAATCACCAGAAGAGTGATTTATAATTGAATCATCTTGTGGTTTACTGTTCTAGAGACTGTCATGAACTTTGTTACTTAAATGGTAGTTAGAAACATGTGCCACAATAACACATATACAGTGAAAATCCTGTAAGATATATTTTTTTTTCAGAAACATGTGCCACAATAACACATATACATTGAGAATCCTGTAAGATATGTTTCTTTTTTCAGAAACGTGCCACAATAACACATATAAATTGAAAATCCTGTAAGATATGTTTCTTTTTTCAGAAACGTGCCACAATAACACATATACATTGAAAATCCTGTAAGATATGTTGTTTTTTTCAGAAACATGTGCCACAATAACACATATACAGTGAAAATCCTGTAAAATATGTTTTTTTTCAGAAACATGTGCCATCAGAACATATATACAGTGATTATCCAGTAAGATACAAACCAAAGAAGTCAGCCAGTCCTCCACCAATAGAAGACAGAGATTCAGCCACACCCACTCCTCCTCCATCTGAACCAGCCCCACCAGTTCCACAAGAAAATGGATTTGTACCATTACAACGCAGAGCAGGAGCTGAATATTGTAACTCAGGTCTATTTAAAGTCTATTCATTATTTAACATTTTAGACTTCTTTGGAAACAAGACAATCTTTAATATTCATTTATAGAGAGCAAACCTTTTTTTCAAATGGACAGAACAATAGCACAGCTATAATGACGTGTGTGGAAAATTTTATGATGCTAATATCTTGAGTTTAATGAAATTATCTCTTACTTGCAGATAATAAATTTCTGCCATATATCCTTAGTCTGCTTTGTAAAACTCCATCATAAATTAAGGAATTTTTATAGTACATATGATTAGAAGTTACCACTGCAGATGTTGTGCAGACCGGAAGTGATTGTTTTTCAATTAACCTTATGTCAACTGATGCAAAAGTAGGGTCAGTTGTAGTGAAGTCAGAACATGAAATTGGTTTATTGTTTTAACCACACAATGTAGGAAGGAACTACTTTACAAGGATTTCTGAAATTTGGTTTCAGGGTTTATATGAGTCAGCTATACTGTGTGATGTGTCATCACTCAACAACTTCATGTTTACCTTATACTTTTAGTGGGGCGGGGGTATCATTAGTGAGCAGTAGCTCACAGATTCACTTGTCCAATTTAACTTCTGTTTTGATAATGGATTATCTTTCTTTGATATATTTTTAGACTGGGTAGTACCTGAGAAGCCAGAGTCTGAAAACAGTGAACCAGACACGTCAGAAGATGATTTTGTCAACGAAGAGTTCTTTAAACAGAAAAGATTAGAAGCATTCAGTAGTAATACATTAAAACCAATATCAAAAACTGACAATCCTATCGTATTACACTCCAGATCAGTTGCCTCACTGCCCATGAGGTCTTATAGTTTACCAGCAGAATATTCAAATGATACTCCTCAGTTACCAGCTAGACCACACCGGAATAAACCAGTCACAGCTGATACCTCAGAACCTCAGTACAGTCAAGTTAACAAGTTTAAACCTAAACCAGAAGCAGATTCTGAAGACGTTTATGAATCAGCATTTGATTTTGATGATCAGAGTTCACAATCTAATCATTCAAATAGAAATACATTAACTGAACAATCATATGATATAACTGATGATTCAGATGAAGGTTTATATGAGGCAGCTTTTGATGTTAAGGATACTCAACCTCTGTTCGAAAAAAAAATGTCTGATCCGATTGTTGAACTTCCAAAACGAAAGTCTAAATTAAAAGATATAGATGAACTTTCGTCTGAGAAAAGAAAAAGTCAGATCGCTGTGGAGGAAAATGTCTATTCGGGTTTTAACTGTGAAGAGCAAAATGATGATGGAAAATTTGTTGACAAAAAGGCTGACCTTGCTAATAACAATATAAAAAATGAAAACATTTACAGCAATACTAATTCTACAGACATTCCTGTGTCCAAGGGACATTCAAAAGAAAATACAAGTCAAAATCAAAATAAGGATCATATTTACTCCAATACTGATGCATGCATTATTGCTGAAGCTACATCAAAAGAAACAATGACTAATGACGAAGAGTCTCAAGGTACTGCTAGTCCCGTCAAACCCCCTAGAAGGAACTCTAGAAATGCATCAAAAAAGAAAGTAGATGCAGGCTATGCAAATTTTGATAAATTAGGAAGTAATAATCCCAAAAAGGTGACAGACAAACATGAACAGACAGTAGAAGCTGTTCCTCTACCTGTTAGACCTCTGGCTGTGAAGGAAAATATTTACGACTTTGGAAAATGTTTACCTCCTCCTGTGAATAAAAATGATCAATCAAAGTCTGAATTATATAGTAACTTGAATTCTATATCCCATGGCAGTGCTGATTTTAAGTTAAGTTCAAAATATGCAATTCCACCACCCTTGAATTTAAATTTTGATCATACAAGATCTGATTCCTCCTCACCTGAAACTCCTAGAAGACTAATTGATGCAATTAAAATGCCACCAAAGTTTGAACCTATATCAACCAAAAATGGACTTGAGGACTTACCACCATCACCAACCTCACCATCAACACCTGTCAATGATCCTGGTTTAGTGTTTCCTACTGTTCATAAATCAATAATAGATGTGACTGATATGTCTCATAAGAAGCAGTCAACCCCATCACCAAAACCTCGTCATTCCAGACCTACATCACACTCGCCAAAAATTAGACATTCTGACAAAGTAGTCAAGGAAGCACAAAATGTACCGTTACCCAAGCCAAGGCTCGCCTCTGGAAAACAGGAACGTCCACGGTCTTTGATAATGCCACAGCAGTATGACTACATGTCGTCTGTTCACCAACCTATACGAAAAAATACTGGAGAAGCATTATATTCACCTGTGTTAAATAAGAAATGGTTTGGTTCTCAACCAATGCCTGGAATAAGCTCTCACCCGAAAGCTGTTGTTGCTTCACAACCAATGTTAAATGTTAGCTCCAATCCTGCATCGAATATTGCATCTCAACCAGTATTAAAGACTGGATTTCAACCAATTTCTATGGAAACAACAGATGAAATTTATCAAGTGCCAAAAAGAGCCAGATCTGTAAAGCAAAAGCATGAACCCCAACCAACTTTCATTAGTCGTGATATTGAAAGTAATGCTCTTGGTTCCTCACCTAGCCATGATGGCTTCCAGTTTAATGTTCCAAAGAGACAGATGTCTGGTGATGATAATGAGGATGAAGACAATGATTCACATGATTATGAAGATGCCACTATGCGTCATGGTGAGCCACCCCTGCCACCAAGACGAACCACAGCAGCTGCTTTAAATAACCGTAGTCAGAGTGTGTATGTGCCATGTAATATTAACCCAGAAGCATCCAACAAAGGTAAGAATGTAAAGGTTAACTAAACTTGAAATTATAAATTTTTGGGCACTGTGGATTCATTTATTTTCGTGGATACCAGTTTTTATACGACAGCAAAATTTTTGCGGTCGTATAATGTTATGACATTCAAAGACATTTGGTTTCCAGACAATAACTTAAGAATAAGTGTATGGATCTCTTTGAAATTGTACCACAAGTTTCCATACCATAAAAGGAAAGGTTGGGATTGATTTTGGGGGTTTTGGCCCAAACCGTTTAGGAATTAGGGGCCAACAGACTAGGATTTTCTGGTTTTTCTGGACAATTACTTGAGTATAAGTCTTATGGATCTCTATGAAATTTTACCACAAGGTTCCATACCAAAATGGAAGGTTGGGATTGATTTTGGGGGTTATGGCCCTAACTAAAAAGGAGCCAAAAACAATACTTTTCTAATACTTTGTATAAATTGCTTATTTCTTGACCAATTTCAATGGGGTATAATTCAAAGTCTTGAATTCTTGGGGTTCTGTAATATGCTGAATCTAACCATGTATTTTGATTTTGGATTTTGGGCCCCATTTTTGAATTGGTCCAAATTGAGGTTCAAAGGGTCCAAAACTAAACTTTGTTTGATTTCATCAAAAATTGAATTCTTCTGGTTCTTTGATATGCTGATTCTAACCATGCATTTAGATTTTGGATATTGGACCATAAAAGGTAAATGTCCAATTTAGAATTTTTAAGTTCTTAGACCACATTCATTCTGTGTCAGAAACTATGCTTTGTCAAATATTTAATCACAACCCAAATTCAGAGCTGTATTGCACAATCATCAAATCTAATTTAAGAGAAGAAATTGTGTATAAATATAGTTTGAAATTTACTGTTCATTATTAGATATTATGGAAGACTTTGTATTAACATGATTAATGAGAAATGATAATTTTGAAATTGTTTTTTTCTTTTTTTTTGGTTAATATTTTTGAAGAACTTCATGGTAGAATTGTTTGTTATTCTGTATAAATTAATTTTCAGAATGCTATATATATATATTTTTTTTTTGATGAAGTGAATCCCTTTAAAAACTTTGCTAATATTGTCCATTGATAAATAAATAAAAAAAATTCTTGGTGTACTTGGATATGCTGAATCTAACCGTGTATTTAGATTTTGGATATTGGACCATAATAGGTAAACGTCCAATTTCAAAATTTTCAGTTATTTGACCACATTCATTCTGTGTCAGAACCTATGCTGTGTCAAATATTCAATCACAATCCAAATTCAGAACTGTATCAAGTGTGAATGTAGTGTCCATACTTGACCAAACTGTTCAGGGTTCAACCTCTGTGGTCGTATCAAGCTGTGCCCAGTAGAGCATTTTATTGCGAATTGAGAAAAAAAATTGGTTGATATTTGATTTTGTGGTTTTACTAAAGTTTTCAAACAAACCTATAGAAAATGTTTACTTCGTCGAACATTTAAATTTGTGGTCCACGTATACCCACATAATCCATGAAAATAAGTATCCCTTGAATTTTAATAAATCCACAATATTTTAAAAACAGGGAAGTTCTTACAAATAGAAGCATTAACGAGATAGAAGGCCTTACAAGGGGACACAAGTCAATTTTATTTTTTTTGTTTTTCTGGGAATATTTATTTTTTTAATGGGAAAAGGGGAAGGTGACAACACAATAGAAGCTATCATGTGTGTGAGGCTTATGAAAGAGTTTTTGATGAACAAAAATCCATTTTTGCGTTACTACTTCTCTTATTTACTTCCAATCAAAACAAACTCACTTTTTATGCCCCCGTCGTAGCGGAGGGGGCATTAAGTTTTACCCTTGTCCGTCCGAATGTATGTCCCAAAGTTGGTTTCCATTCTCTAACTTTAGTTTGCCTCAACCAAATGTTATGAAACTTATACGAAATGCTTATTACCACAAAATACAGGTCAAGTTTGAATTTTGGTGATGTCACTTTAACCGTTCTAGAGTTATGCCCCTTTACAAATGGAAAAATTGCTGAATTTTTCGTTTCCGTTCTCTAACTTAAGTTAGCCTCAACCAAATGTTATGAAACATATACACAATGCTTATTACCACAAAATACAGATCAAGTTTGAATTTTGGTGGTGTCACTTTTACTGTTCTAGAGTTATGCCCCTTAACAATTGGAAAAATTGGTGAAATTCGTTTCTGTTCTCTAACTTAAGTTTGCTTCAACCAAATGTTATGAAACTTATACACAATACTTATTACCACAAAACTGAGATCAAGTACAAATTTGGGTAGCACATTTTATCGTTCTTCAGTTATGTCCCTTTATAACTTGATATGCAAGCGGGGGCATCATCTGTGTCCAATGGACACATTCCCCATTTATTTATGTATGCAAAAATATATGTATAAATCAAACTGAATGTATTTAAGGTGTTTGTGATGGTAGGTTGTAATATTTTGGAGGTAAAGATTGCATTCATGCAATCAAAACCCTTATGTGGCTGGCTTGATAATTATCAATTAACCAGACCTTATCACTACCCTTTAGATAATCAAAACAAAGTGCATTGAGTTCAACCTTCTATAATCTATACAACCTATCCATGAATATTTGAAAATATGTATCAATGATATATATACTCAGATATTCAAAATTCAAATCAATGTGTATGTGTATAACTTTTCTTGTCAAGAAAATTACAGAAATTGTGCATGGTGCTTGAATCGAGTGTGTGTTCTACAAATATCAATGATGTCATTGTTTAAGTAATATTTAAAATGGAGTTATCTTCCTTTGTGTGTAATTGTAGTTGTACCAACAACAATATTATCTACATCCCTGTCTCAAATGCATAGTATTGCCTCCTAAAGCTTAATACAATATGATGTGTAACTTTTAGAGTTCCCACTGCTAAAATGAAATCAATTTTTATCCTTCATTGTTTACAAGAACTTTAAATTTATAATAACTTAATTAATAAACAGAAAGCAGAGCGCCATATTTTAAAATATTTATCCAGTAAGTACACTGAAGTATTGAACTATGAGTTTGATGATATCTGTCATATTCTAGTATATCTTTTTAGTGATTGTTAGACAGACATCCTTACGTGAGAGACAGAGGATTTCATCGGCACCAGGATTGGTGACTGTTCTGCCATTAAAACAAAGCGAAATAGACATTTTACAAGAGGAACAACAATCACATGGAATAATTGTTAAAATATCTCCTGCAGCTTGTCAAAAGATAGCTTTGGTGGACAGCTTTAATGGAGTGTGGTATGTATTTAGTTTGTCAAAAGATAGCTTTGGTAGACAGCTTTAATGGAGTGTGGTATGTATTTAGTTTGTCAAAAGATAGCTTTGGTGGACAGCTTTAATGGAGTGTGGTATGTATTTAGTTTGTCAAAAGATAGCTTTGGTGGACAGCTTTAATGGAGTGTAGTATGTATTTAGTTTGTCAAAAGATAGCTTTGGTGGATAGCTTTAATGGAGTGTGGTATGTATTTAGTTTGTCAAAAGATAGCTTTGGTGGATAGCTTTAATGGAGTGTAGTATGTATTTAGTTTGTCAAAAGATAGCTTTGGTGAACAGCCTTAATGGAGTGTCGTATGTATTTAGTTTGTTTAAAGATATCTTTGGTGGACAGCTTTAATGGAGTGTAGTATGTATTTAGTTTGTCAATAGATAGCTTTGGTGGACAGCTTTAATGGAGTGTGGTATGTAATTAGTTTGTCAAAAGATAGCTTTGGTGTACAGCTTTAATGGAGTGTAGTATGTATTTAGTTTGTCAAAGGATAGCTTTGGTGGACAGCTTTAATGGAGTGTGGTATGTATTTAGTTTGTCAAAAGATGGCTTTGGTGGATAGCTTTAATGGAGTGTGGAATGTATTTATTTTGTCAAAAGATGGCTTTGGTGGATAGGTTTAATGGAGTTTGGTATGTATTAAACATGTCTAAAGAAAGGCGGTATTTGAAGATGGCTTTAGTGGAGTGTGTCAAATATTCATGAGTAAATGACTTACCTTTTGCCAAATGAATGCAAAATTGCAGAATTAAACATATAAGAATACTGTAACATTTATTTTTACATGGCTGGTCATAGAATTATATAACAAATACCATTAGGTAATCAGAAGTGTATTCATGAAAAAGATTGTCAGTTCAATAAAATTATATTTTAAATTTCTATTTTAATAAAAACATTGATGCGCTGTTACAATACAAGTTATTTTTATTGATTGTTATGTGTGTTGATATAAGTTAAAATACAGTAGACAATATTACAATCAATCTGTGATGACTTTTCACAATGATTCCTGGTGATTGCAATTGATTCAATTTGTAATATATGAGGGCGGAAGGACTTTTTTCAGGACATCAGGATGGGGCCTTTATTTTTTCTGGAATTCAGGGTTTACCCTTATTGGGACTTGGGAATTAATGATTAACTTTTCAGGATCTGGGATAGAATGCTATATTTTTTCCTGGAATTCAGGATTTAAGGTTTATTTTTTGGGGAATTTGGGATGACACCCCTCCTACCCCCCTCATATATGACAGAGTTATAATCTAGAGTGTTATCACTATAAATTACCAGCCATCATCCTATTTCACATCGAATCACTCAAAACCAACAAAAGGGATAACTCACTGATTCAGTTTGTCTTAACTGTAATTTGATTATTACAGGATTATAGGATGGGATTTTAAACATTATCCAAGGTTATCTGAGAGTATTCACATCGGTGATGAAGTTACAAAAATCAACGACCTCAGAGTAACTAACGCTCATATGGCAAAGAAAGCTTTAAAATCGTGCAATACAGAACAGATGGATCTGGTTATAAAACGTCTTCCTTATGCTAAAGTAATGGCCATACGACGACATCAGACCGGTGAAAACCTAGGATTACAACGTCTAGGAGGAACTGCTGAGGTAGGAATATTTATATTGCTAGGACAGAAAATTAGGTTAATGTAAAATTTTACCATTTAGTCAGTGTAAGGTTTTGCTATCATATGCATCCTTTAACACCTTGTTTGTGATCTGTCACAAACTTTGCAACTCTTTCCCAGGAAAATGGCTTTCATCATCCTAATGCAAGAAATAATTAAATTTTAGACTTCTGATCTTCATCTATAAATGTAGTAATGTCCATATGTTCAATTGAATATGCATCTGAAGCTAGATTTTCACTACAGATGTACCAATGATTTTTATTGTATTTTATTTATAAAAGTTCAAAATAGATATATTTTTAGAGCTGCTTGAGTTTTCAACATCAATCCTTCTATTAATGCTGTCATTGCTTTCATTTTAATTTATTGTAATTTTTTCTCATAATTAAATAAATATGATAGGACACATCTGTAGGATTACATTTTGTTTGTAGTTATCACATGATTAAAGTTATACTAGTTTGAGTGATTGTATCCTAATTTTTCAGATAACTTATGTGGATCCCTCAGGACTTACTGCTCAACATGGTTTGACGAAATATGCTCCGTGTGTGGAAAGTGATGGAACCTGTAACTGGTGGATTACAGAAATAAATAATAGGCCACTCAATTTGTCCTTTAAAGGCAATGAGGTAGGGATATGAATAAACACTCAATCTGTCCTTCAAGGCAATGAAGTAGGGATATGAATAAACACTCAATCTGTCCTTCAAAGGCATTGAGGTAGGGATATGAATAAACACTCAACCTGTCCTTCAAAGGCAATGAGGTAGGGATATGAATAAACACTCAATCTGTCCTTCAAAGACAATGAGGTAGGGATATGAATAAACACTCAATCTGTCCTTCAAAGGCAATGAGGTAGGGATATGAAATAAACACTCAATCTGTCCTTCAAAGGCAATGAGGTAGGGGTATGAATAAACATTCAATCTGTCCTTCAAAGGCATTGAGGTAGGGATATGAATAAACACTCAACCTGTCCTTCAAAGGCAATGAGGTAGGGATATGAATAAACACTCAATCTGTCCTTCAAAGGCAATGAGGTAGGGATATGAATAAACACTCAATCTGTCCTTCAAAGGCAATGAGGTAGGGATATGAATAAACACTCAATCTGTCCTTCAAAGGCAATGAGGTAGGGATATGAATAAACACTCAATCTGTCCTTCAAAGGCAATGAGGTAGGGATATGAATAAACACTCAATCTGTCCTTCAAAGGCAATGCGGTAGGGGTATGAATAAACACTCAATCTGTCCTTCAAAGGCATTGAGGTAGGGATATGAATAAACACTCAATCTGTCCTTCAAAGGCAATGGGGTAGAGATATGAATAAACACTCAACCTGTCCTTCAAAGGCATTGAGGTAGGAATATGAATAAACACTCAATCTGTCCTTCAAAGGCAATGAGGTAGGGATATGAACAAACACTCAATCTGTCCTTCTTTAACAAAAAAAGAAAGTAGTGGTTTCTGAAATCACTTCAAAATAAATTCCTACAGTATCCCTGCTTTTATATTACATACCTTGCTCTATGTTCATTTGAGTAACATTGCAACAGACTCGATACTAATATACTGTGATTTAAGAACTCTTATGGAGAAAATGCTAAGAGCAGTAGTTAGTGAAATAGTGTGTCACATTTGTTTCTAAAACATCATGGAAAAAATGAGTTCTCATGCATAGAATATAATACAATTTTATGTTTCAGCAATTAATCCTTTAATTTGAAATTTGACAATTTGATATTTCTTGTTTGATTTAAAATTTTCCTTTTTCAGTAAAAATGGAAAAAATTTGCTGAGCAATACAATAATGAATTTATACCAAAGTAAATTGGCAGTCCCCTTTATCCATTGTATCATTTTGAGATACTTCCATTACATTTATATTTACATGTAAATAGTACACCAGTATACATATAAATTATTTATTTTTCAGATTGAGGCTAAGTTAAATGTAAATTGTATACCTGTTTACAAATAATTCATTAATTTTCCAGATTGAGGCTAAGCTAAATATAGATAGTATACCAATATAAATATATATATAAATCCTTTATTTTTCAGATTGAGGCTAAACTAAATGCAGTAGGCAAAGACATTTCGATTGTTGTTCATCCATCTGATTTTATAAAGGAACTTAGAAGACAACTGAAAAAGATGAGAAACTTTAAAGATTTCTTGGCTGTGGCATAAACAGAATACCCAACTGAAAATGAATGTCAGCAATTCACAGTAAATGAAATGGAAATGTAATTATACATGACAAATACTGTCTGTGATCACTTTTATATAGTCCCATGTAACACAGTCTGGTAAAATGGATTTACCTTTAAAACGCTTGCCTCTGCACAACAAAAATTGTAATACTTCATTTTTCAGCTCACCTGGCCCGAAGGGCCAAGTGAGCTTTTCACATCACTTGGCGTCCATCGTCGTCGTCGTTAACTTTTTACATTTTGAACTTCTTCTAGAAAACCACTGAATGGAATGAAACCAAACATGGTATTAATGTTCCTTATGAGGTGCTGACCAAGTGTTGTTACTTTGTAGCTGATCCATCGTTAAAGATGGCCACCAGCGGGGGACTTCGTTTAACATAGGACCCTATGGACAATATATACAAATGTCTTCTTTTAGAGAACCACTGAATGGAATGAAACCAAACATGGCATGAATGTTCATTATGAGGTGCTGACCAAGTGTTGTTACTTTGAAGCCGATGCATCATCCAAGATGGCTGCCAGCGGGGGACTTCATTTAACATAGGACCCTATGGACAATATATACAAATGTCTTCTTTTAGAGAACCACTGAATGGAATGAAACCAAACATGGCATGAATGTTCATTATGAGGTGCTGACCAAGTGTTGTTACTTTGAAGCCGATGCATCATCCAAGATCCAAAATGGCTGCCAGCAGGGGACTTCGTTTAACATAGGACCCTACAGACAATACATACAAATGTCTTCTTTTAGAGAACCACTGAATGGAATAAAACAAAACCTTATGAGGTGCTGAATAAGTGTTGTTACTTTGAAGCCAATCCAACATCCAAGATGGCCGCCAGAGGGGGACTTAGTTTAACATAGGACCCTATGGGAAATACATACAAATGTCTTCTTTTAGAGAACAACTGAATGGAATGAAATAAAACATGGCGTGAATGTTCCTTATGAGTTGCTGACCAAGTGTTGTAACTTTGTAGGCGATCAATCATCAGAGATGGTCACCAGCGGGGACTTAGTTTAACATAGGACCCTATGGGAGATACATACAAATGTTTTCTTTTAGAGAACCACTGAATGGAATGAAACCAAACATGGCATGAATGTTCCTAATGAGGTGCTGGCCAAGTGTTGTTTATTTGTAGCCAATCAGTCATCCAAGATTTCTGCCAGCGGGGAACTTAGTTTAACATAGGACCCTATGGAAAATACATACAAATGTCTTCTTCTAGAAAACCGCTGAATGGATTGAAACCAAACATGGTATGAATGTTTCTTTTGAGAAGCTGACCAAGTGTTGTTACTTTGTAGCTGATTTGTCATTGTCCTTATTAAGTCATTTTCTACAATTTCAATGAATTTATTGGTAATTTCTGTAAAATTTACAAAAGTCTTTTGCTTTTATTACGGGGCCAATAGTAAACCAAATTTGGCCTCAATCATTATTAGGGTATATGTTATGATTTTAATCTATTTTTACTTGATTTCCAAAACCAAAGTAGAATCAGGTGAGCGACACAGGCTCTTGGGAGCCTCTAGTTTAATAATTCCATTTTTCTTCACATTATACATGAAAAATGAATCAACATTTAATACAAGATCATTATTAAAGGATGATTCAGTTTACAAAAAAATGTGACAAAGTAGATTTCTGCTTTTTGCTTTATCTTATTAAAAACTTATTTCAGAGTATATCATATTTATTCTATACACTCCCTCTTTTGAGATATCTGTGTTCTGTCTTTAATCTTCAATTCATTTTATTGGATTTAAGATTTTAAAGGTATTTTCAGCATAATCAAACATTTTATTGTCAGAAACATAGTTTATGTATGTCAGATAGTCCACGTAGATTCAAACATTATGTTTAGTACAGGAACTTAATAAACTGTATGGGTCACATTTTAGCATGATAAGTGCAATACAAGAATTTTAGAAAGTTACCGATGAAATGTTTGGGTTTTTGTGTTGTTAGGTTTTTTTCTTGGACACCATAATGACTAAAAGCAATGTGTGCAGATTTTTTTTTTATCTCCTTAGGAAGCATGTACTTAATTAAGAAAGCATAAGATTTTTTCATTGTTTTAAGCATGACATGAATGGACTTAATATTTCGCAACTGTTGCTCAGATATTACTGGAACATTTAACACACATCATGCAACAGTCACCTTTCTGCTGATCAACAGGGTCATATTGTTTAATTCCTCGATTTCTATGTAGTGGTTTGTAATATTATAGTATATTTAAGATTTTTTTAAAAGAGGAATACATCTTCTAGAATTATTTATTTATAGAATATATTTGTAGAAGCGCTAGCTCTTTCAGTATTATAAAATGATTATAGTTAAAGTGCTATGTTAGCCTTAAGCACTGTTTGCCATTTATACTAGCCCTATATACTGGTTTGCCATAAAGATATGTTATTTTTATATATTTTTAATGTTTAACTATTTTGACAATTGTACAGTTTATTGTTTCATAATGCATTCATTAATAACAGGCTATTATTTGAACTTGGAATTATTTTCAATTATGGAATTTGCATAATTTCTTGTGCTTGAAATTTTTAATAAATTCCATGTTTATTTGGTATTATAATGTTTTGAGCAGTTCATAACACTTCTCATACAATGTATTTTGTATAGATAGTGTTGTGCGCGGCACAGAACATTCTATTGAAAATGTACTATCTTCTTTGTAATAGAAAGTGTTGTGCGCAGCACAGAACATTAAAGTCCAAATAAACATGGAATTTATTAAAAATTTCAAACACAAGAAATTATGCAAATTCCATAATTAAAAATAATTCCAAGTTTAAATAATAGCCTGTTTAATGAGATCATCATATTATATGAAGAATTTGAATTGCTTATAAATGTAATACCTGTATTTTGAAACCCCATATTACAATTGTTAGTTGTTGTTAAATGAGAATGATGAAAAAATCTTCTATCAAATTTATTTTACACCGTATAAGTAATGCCATTTGAACAAAACATGAACGTATTTTATATTTGACTTTGGAAGAAAAAAAGTACTGTAAATTCAGAAATTATTGCGTGCATTTACTATTGCGATTTTTCAAGAATGGACAAAAATGCGAGAGTAATTATTGCACAGTAGATAGTACAGATATATGTATCAGAAATCAGAATGCGAGTTCTTATTATTAATGTGATAGTCACCCAGTCGCATTATTCGCATTAATAAAAACCTCGCAATCATTTCTGAATTTGCTGTATGCAATTTGACTTTGACATTTCAAAAATTACATTACATAAATTAAAAAAAAAAATTTCGTGGCAAGGTAATAATGTAATTATTAAAATTTTACAATTAAAACCACTATTAGACAGAATATTTCATAAAGAGCTATAGTTTTCACACTCATAGCCCATGTATATTATAAGAGGAAGACATTTCCATGGTAACTCTGGTGTTTGTAATCACAACTTCCAGACATGAACATAACTTTTGTTTTTATTACACTATAACAGTTGAGAAAACATGACTGTGTATGAACTGTCTATGGCAGTTGCAGCCAAATATATGATTTAACCATTAAATAGTTACATCAAAGTTGAAACTGATTTTTGGTTTGCTTATTTGATAGAAATATGTTGTTTTTGTATGTAGAAAATCTGTTGTAAAATTTTCTACTTAATTTTAGCTTTTGCTGTTTTATAGCTTAGCAAATCATTTACAATTAATTGTAAAGCTAGAATTAGAAGAGCACTTGTTGCATTCCATGATTACTGATAGGACTTATTCCAATCAGATAGTTTATTAGGGACCATAGTATTAAGTTAAATAAATATATCAGCATGACAAATAATCTGTAAAGTTTCATCCTTTGCTTCTAATTGGTAGACCTGTTTTAAGGGAAATAACTCTTTTAATTATTAATGTGTTTGTTATATGCAGTTTCATTAATGCTATAGGTCACAATCAACCATTCAATATTATGGGTGCAGCAATTTTATGAAGATAACATGGTATTCAGAATTAAGAGTATGGCTGATCCTGATTGGTCGAGGTGTGCACCCTGTATATTTTATTACTAGAGACTTCTTGCACTCTGCATTATACCAAAAGCAAAAGCAAAATAATATGTTTGGCAGAACTGAGAAGTCTTCAATACTATGATGAGACACATGTTTTTAAGTGCAAAATTGATCGACAAGGAAGTATAAGTACAAATTACATTAAGAAAAGCGACAGGAACCTATATTTTTTTGGACTAAAAAATACTGTCCTAATAATTATGCCCCACCTACGATAGTAGAGGGGCATTATGTTTTTCAGTCTGTGCGTCCGTTCGTTCGTTTGTCCGTCTGTCTGTCCTGCTTTTAGGTCAAGGTAGTTTTTGATGAAGTTGGAGTCCAATCAACTTGAAACTTAGTGACCATATTCCCTATGATATGATCTTTCTAATTTTAATGCCAAATTAGAGTTTTGACCCCAATTTCACGGGCCACTGAACATAGAAAATGATAGTGCGAGGGGGGCATCCATGTACTATGGACACATTCTTGTTTTTCTTTAAGTCTAGCAAGGTTTTGTTAAAAAAAATTCAACTTTTTAAAGTCTGTATCTTGAAAAAGGCTACCATTGTCACCTATGGAAAAGTTAATTGTATTTTGCAATCTATATAAGTATTGGCATAACACAGACTTATGATAATCTATGTTACATGGAAGCTTGGAAATAATTATGCAAATGGTTGAAACAAAACATAATAGTGATGTTTAAGAGTTATGTTCATTTATCCAGGTGTACCTCCACAAATCTTGAACTACATTTGGGTTACATAATGTATAGTTTGCAAATTTAAGGTGCTTACATGTAGTTTTTTTTTATTCATTAGAAAAAGATTTTTATTGTTGTTGTTTTTCACTTGTATAATAGTTCGAATGAAATTGGATGATATTTAAAGCCATGCAGGCATGGTCATTATTTTTTTTAATGTCTCAAAACTACAGCATACATACATTCACATATGATATATGTACATGTTGTCAATAAGCTTGTTATTTTATACAAGATTTCAGTGATGCTAATAGCACAGTGTAAAAATCATTTGTTACTACATTTTGTATGTCGAGAAAAAAAAAAGTTTCTCAATCTTTCTTGTCAATGGGACAAGAAAAACAATCCCACATTTTCTATTTAAGTATTTTTTTAAACGTTTTGTTTCAAATTAAAAGTTGAAAATATTTATAAAATGTCCATTAAAGAATAACCACATGGTCACATTGTGGTTTTATTCTGTTTTCCTTCCTATGAAATATTTTTTGCCAAAGTTGACAAATTTAATAACTTTAATGTGTCGAAAACACAGCTGGTTCTTCCTACTTAGCTGACCAATTAAGAATATTAGATTTGTCACATTTGGAATGGGGAAAAGAAAAGAATTTATGACGCAAGTCGAATACATGTACAATGTATATAATTTAATTTATTATGCAATACACATGTTTACAATTGTTCCCTTCTTTGTATCAAGTACAAGATTGGACGCTTAATTGCAAATTATGCAATAATTTCATGCCAAGTTACAACAGTAAAAAAATTATCACTGCCAGGTCAGTATATTTAAACACTTTTTCAAGACAGAGTTAAAAAAACACAAATCTTTCTTTAACATTTTTACCAATAACAGGTTCACAATTCCATTTAGTTCATACTGTAATACTATTGATACAGATTCCTTTATGTCTTTACCTTCTTATGGTAAGAATTTGACAATTTGAAAAAAAATATCTTAAATTTCAAGTCCTCAAAATAAGACTGAAATCATGTGAAAAACTTTCAGATGGTTGGTTTTACAAAATAAGGAGATGATGTATGATTGTCAATGAGACTACTATCTACCTGAAACCAAGGAATACTAATGTTTTAAGTCCCCTACCCCCCCCTACCGACGAAATCGAAGGGGACTTTAGGATTGCACTCTGTCTGTCTGTCTGTCTGTCCATCTGTCAGTCCGGCAAATCAGTTTTCCACACTTTTTTTCTTCGTGCTTGAAGATATTGATTTGATATTTGGTATATTGTTTATCACGACAAGTTTCAGATCAAGTTCGAATTTTGTTCCGGTCTGATGATTTTGTGCAGAGTTATGGTCCTGGGACTTAGAAAATTCACTCAAATAATCAGTTTTCCACAATTTTTTTTCGTCATGCTTGAAGATATTGATTTTGATAATTGGTATATAGTTTTATCATCGCAAGTTACAGATCAAGTTCAAATTTTGTTCAGGTCTAATGATTTTATGCAAAGTTATGGTCCTTGGACTTTGAAAATTCACTCAAATAATCAGTTTTCCATACTTTTTTTTGTCATGCTTGAAGATATTGATTTGATAATTGTTATATAGTTTTATCATGACAAGTTACAGATCAAGTTCGAATTTTGTTCTGGTCTGATGATTTTGTGCAGAGTTATGGTCCTTGGACTTAGTAAATTCACTTAAATAATCAATTTTCCATACTTTTTTTCGTCATACTTGAAGATATTGACTTGATATTTGTTATATAGTTTACACCATTACAAGTTATAGATCAAGTTAGCATTTTGTTCCAGTACAATGAATTTTTAGCCGGTAGGGGACTATGTATTGCCATGCAATACTCTCAAAATGCTTGTTATGCTTTATAATTAACAGATACATAATGTTTTCCTTAAATACAATTTCTGTAATAATAAGAATTTATTTTGTACACATAGATGTTTTTGGGCTGTTTATTTTGCTTTAATATAAGGAATTGGCCATAATACAACAAATATTTTCTGAAGTACTGCATCTTCAGAAACATTTAGACTTATTTGACTGACTGTTGAATTATGTAGCACTAGACATCATCCTTTTTTATCATGCAAAAATAAGTACAGAAATTTGTAATCTTTGAATCCTGAGACTGTACACATGCCTTTTTATTCACCATCACTGTACAATAAATAGTTAACAAGAAATGTCTCTTAAAAAGAAATGATAGCTCAAACATCTTTTTCTATATTAGAAAAAAGTTAATTTTGATATATGGTTTAAACATCTGATTAGTGACTGGTATTTTACAAAATCCACAACAAAGTTTAGTGATTTTATCAAATTCCTAAAAATTTAAAGAATTTAGAATCAATGTACAGTGTGTTTACAAAATCTCTAAATATTTCTGTAAGCAGATATTAAAAATCTAATGTAACATATATACTTTAGTATCATAATTTTACAGCTGCAGGTCAGGCTGATAATCCATAATAATTTTCATTTTTGTTTACATTATCATAATTTCAGTATAAAATAATTTTGTATATGTTTTTGTAGATGATTGAAGATATATAAGTAACTATATTTCTTTGTTTGTTACATATGATGCTTTGAGAAAAAGCAATTATTTTTAAACATCGGAAAAGAGGGAGATATGGTGTATTGATTCATGAAACAAAATCCATAAGCATGTTTAACAAAAGCAAGGGAAAATTACTTAATCAAAGCAAGGGAAAACACTTAATCAAAGCAAGGGAACATACTTCATTGCTGTCTTCATCTCTAAGTTAGTGATCTTTCTAGTTTCAGACATATTTAGAAATAAAAATTAGAGGTGGATTTGAAACCCAATCCTTTAAACTTGCATATTTTTTGTTGTTAATATTTTAGATAAGATGATCTGCCATAGCTTTTCATATTAAACCGCTGCATCTTGACATGATGGTTTATCATTAAACCAAGTCTGTAAATATAACACTTACTGATATATTGTATTTCTATAAATCGTTTTAAAACCAAATCTCTTATTCTATCCTTTAAATATTTTTTTTATAGCATACTGAAATCTTTTTATTCAAAATGGAGACTCTATTTGAGAGATCTGTAGCCTTTTTCACAAAAAATCTTACGATTTAAAATTGGTCGCAAATTATAATGAAATGTTGTTGAAATATTAGTATTTTTTCTTGTAAGACTTTTTGTGAAACTGATAGCAGAATGTTATCAGAGTCTACCTGGGTGACTGACTGTTTAGTTTACTCTTGATCCATATTTTCATAAATATGTTTTTTGGCATAATTAAATATGAGCAACAACCTTACCCAAAAAGATATTTTACCTACATCATCAAGAAGTTTAACGCCATAAGCTAATATGTCAAAATTCCAAATAATAAATTCTTATATCTGACAGACAAATGTCTTGTTTTTATCAAAAGGATAATATTTGATAGATTTATATTACTTTTTGATTTTCAGTTTCAATGGTAAAAAATTAAATGCCCATATCATGTCTTCTGCTATTTTAATTTCAGAACAAAATTTTGATTTCAAGAATAAAAAGTAAATTTGGGGAATAATGTTAAATCTAAATCTGAATGTTTGTGTTTTAAAGAGGTTGCAGTGAATCAATATTAGGAACAATAATGACTGGTGATTAACTTTTTTAAATACTATTATACCTTATTATCATGTATATCTACAAACTTGACAAAAATGTTTGCTTCATATATGCAAGTGAAAATGAATTCACTTTTGGTGAAAAAAATTAAGATAAGAATTTGGAATATATGTTAATTTTAAAAAAGCTTATCATTTTACTAGTTTATAATGTGCAGGCATAATTATGATTCATTAGTTTGCATGTGTTCCAAGATAGCCTCATGCCGAACCGGTACATGTTATTTAAACCATATGTATGTGGAATTTCTTTAGCAAAAGGGGAAAAAAAACATGATAGATATAGTTCCCTTAAACGAATAATTTGTACAAATAGTTGATATAAATAAAATGTGCTGGGAGGAAATTCATGAAATTTAGTCATCATAACGGATTGCTTTACAGTACCAAATAATATGCGATTGTATATGAACATGAACTAAGTTTTTTTAATTGTTATGATCAACAATTTTTTCTGTAGACAGAAAGGTTCAGCTGCTTTCAGTGTTTGATGATGTTTTAGTCCTTGCACACACATCATACTTGCACAAACACAGTACTTACACACACACCAGTACATGCACACACACAAGTAATTGCACACACACACCAGAAAAGTCTGTATTGTATTATTCGCAAGGTAGATTACATTCATGACAACTGATTTCCAAAGAAACAAATTAGTAAACTAATTTCATGAATTAATATTACAAGAAGGTTATTTTCAAATATATTTTTATACCATAATTATTTATACATTTTTGTTATTAAAGGATGTTTCCATACCAGTATTTTGGTTGGACCCTCTGAGAATCTCTTGATGTTTGTCCTCTTAATTAATAGAAACAGATAACAAAACTAGGTTTATTGTTAATAACTACTTTTTTTGTAAAATAAACTGATGATAGTTATTGCCAAAACTTTTTTTCATACAATACAGAGTGCTCAAAGGCTATTGGATGATTTCACTTATAAATACAGTTTATGAATTTAATTGATTGATTTTAATCTGGTTATGAAATGTTTTTAAAATTGAATAATTTCAATGCAAATAAAAAGTCAAATGAAATAAAATCAAATTGATAAAAAGGTTAGAATTCTGTTTATTTCCATGTCAAACACAGCGGGACCAGTAGATAAATATATATCTGACCAAAGAAATCAACTTTATAGGAGGAATAATCATTATGATAATAATCATTATGATTATTCACCAAGAAAAACAAGTTAGAAGAAATATTTCTACACTTTTATTGCATAAAATATCTGAATTGTTTACCTTTATTTGTTTGAAATAACAAAAGAGCACTGTAATTTTGTAACATGAATAAATGTGTTTTGTTAAAAAATTCATTTAAATACAGCTTTAGAAACTTATTGTTATTATGTTAAAATATATATGTTTTTTTTTTGGAAATAAATGTTATTTTTTCTAGAGTTTATGTGTAGTAAATGTATGAGCATTTAATGCATGTTATATGTTTTTTGCTATTAAACTATTCAGAAATTTAGAATTGCTTTTTATTTAATCTACTGGAAGCACTATTTGAGAGAAATAGATATATTCATTACCAACCCTAAAGACAATAGAATAATAAATGAAATGATTTCTATGAAACCGTGCCATAAATTACAAAAAGACTAAAGAGGAAATTTATCACATGTCATAATGAAATGACTGAAGAGGATTTTTCTTTGTAAGATTTCTCGTGAAAAAAGTCTCATTGAATTAATAGTATTCTGTTAAGAAAGGTTAACAAGGAAAAAAAAGTTTTTTATTTTCTTTAAATTTGCTCACCAGAAGCAAAGTACAATATGATACTTTATTTTAGACAACAGCAACCAATAAAGTATATGTACAAAGTACAAATTGTTTAAATATGTATAAGCACAATACATATATTTAATAGTCTTGTCAACGATTAACTGGTTAACCGGTTAAACGTCGGATAAACCAAATATCGAATACCAAAAATGCTAATCAGTTAACTGGATTTTTTTTTAATTTAATACATTTGTTTAAATGTGTATTGAAATCAATAATGCATTTTGTTGAATTTTGAAATGATTCAAGTGCTACTAAATTTGGTAGATCAATTGTCCAGTATATTGATTACCAGTGTTTACCTTGAAAACTTTCAAATTTTACAAAATTAATGAGCACAAAGACAACTTGTCTATTAGCTCGGGGCAAGACCTGAATTAAACATAATTAGCATACATGTATCTTGAACAGTTATAAGCTGATTAAATTTTACGATTAACTTCATAATTTCACTTTAATATTATGAAGACCTAAATTCAAATATGCCATCTCTATCATCCAAGGCATTGTCATATTTTAAACAAAGTGCAACTCAAAAATAATAAAATGCAAATTATGTGATTGGAATTAATGTATACTGAGTGGAACGAGTAACATGGCACGTCCAGTCTGTGTTTATGTTTGATGTTTTTCTGCTTTGTATCGATCTGATGAGTTTAGGCTTTTTCAAATGATTATTATAGTTTATTCTTATGTTGTGCTGTTACACCACTGTCCCAGGTTAGGGGGAGGGTTGAGCGCTCACAAACATATTTAACCCCGCCACATTCTGTATGTGCCTATCCCAAGTCAGGAGCCTGTAGTTCAGTGCTTGTCGTTGGTTCATATCTGTCATATTTGTTTTGCGTAAATTGTTTTGTTATAAATTAGGCCATTGGTTTTCTCAATTGAATTGTTTCATATTTTCCATGTCGGGGCTTTTATAGCCGACTATACGGTGTGGAATTTTCTCATTGTTGAAGGCCGTATGGTTGCCTATAATTGCTTACATCCACTTTATTTGAACTTTGGTGGATAGTTGTCTCATTGGCAATCATACCTCATTTCCTTATTTTTATATTAATCTTCTCAAAATGTAACACTTCACAGAATTTTCTGTGAGACCAGCAAAAAATGAAACGATCACCAGTTATACACTTTTTTAATTCGCAGAGTTCAAGAAGATTTTCATGTTCTCAATCTGAACTAATTTATCGCAAACGCCATAGTAGATATGGTAGTATTTGATTATCAAACGTAAAACTTCACCAGGAAAGCTCAAAGCCAAGCCCTATAATGCACAGGTATAAACTTCAATTCATCGTATGAAAAACCGTGCATTTGTAGAGTACTGTAGATAAGGCCTGTAAACATCAACTTTACTATCGGTTAATGGCTAATCTGTTCGATTTGACAACACTAATATTAAGTATAATACTTTCATTTTAAATTTTGCTTTTAATGAATTGGCCATTCAGTATTGGTCTTGTTCGCTCATCAATTTCTTTATTGTCTTCTTCAAAAGATCCATCGAATAATATGACACCAAACTCTCATTTAAAGTGTTGAACAGAGTGCTTTTAAATTTGTAGGGTTCAACTAAGCAACTAAACATTATGCTTACATGACAAGGTTAGAATGAGATTCTCAGTTTCTTAGCAAATTCTTTCATGTTTCTCTCTGTAATTGTCTGATCACATGTTCAAATCAAGTGCTGATATGCTGAAACTAGGTCATAATCTTATGATATTAGCCATGTTTGTCTATTCTGGGACGAAAATTGTATATAACTGCCTTATTATATGAAATTTCTGTCTATCCTATCTGAGATAACTATAACACAGTAATCTCAGGTCATATGTTCATTGTCATTTTCATGCTTCAGCTAAAAGTGAAAAAAATTGTAAATTATATTTGTCAAGTGAATTTATAACTTTTTATGAGTAATATGATAACTATATATATATATTTGGTACAGGGGGTCCTAATAAGGTCTATATGTATGTCAGACAGGGTCCACCTGATCTTGATCTCATTTTATGGAACAGTGATCAAGGTTAAGTTATCGTGTTTGTTTAAGGCCATATCTCAGATACTAGTCATGAGGTCAAAGATATTTGCTGAATGTAATGATTTTAAAATGTAAATGTCATATTATATTTTATGGTTTTGTCTGCTTCTCAGAAACTATAAACAAGATTAAGGCCAACAATATTAAGTGAATGGAATGATTGTAAGATGAACATGTCTATCTGACAGGTTTCATTTGACCCTGACCACATTTTCATTGATAATTGATCAATGTTTAGTTGTGATGATTAGGTCTTTTTCTCGGATAATATAAGCAATAAATTAACTATGATTGGCGTATAAAATGATTTGTAACGTTAACTTTAAAAGGCAAGGCAGAATACAAACAACCAACTTAAACAACACAAATGTTCTATTATGAAATCAAATGTAATCAAATTTACATCAATTTTTCTTAATGTAAATCAAGCAATATCCGGACTATAAAATTACAACAACTAAAATATCAAATGCCATTAATCCATGAAACATATTGTCCAACTAGAATTATCACTAATTATATAAATGAAGAAAACTCTCGTTCTCATTAACAAACTGTCTGCAACGAACTGATCACTTGAAGGTTGTGTCCTGTCTTACATATGTGTACTTATCGGAGCAAGTGATGGATCCGTCGGCGGATCACATGGGCTTCGACTGGACGGAGTGTATAACAACAGAAAACGCCACAGTTTTCCCTTTCCATGACTCTTTTTTTATATAAAAATTCATATAAGTGATTAATCACATCGTTCAATTTAAAGAAGTTCTATCTTAACATATGGTAAAAAAAGTAATACACACGGGCGGAGAATATTTGATTTTATATAAATCGTCAAAATGTTGTTCAACTATTACCCAAACACATGTCCAAAATCTCGATAATTTGTTTTTCACACCCTTTTCCTTGTTCGGTGCATTACTCTCCGGTCTTCTTCTATTCGTTGAATCGACAGTTTTAGTCTCCCGTAACGTCTTCGTCAGTAGCACTGATAATTTGTAAATTTTCAATTTGTGTTATGGACTGTTGATCAATAATAAGCATGTACTTGTGTCTTACGTTTGTAATCCAATCACTTATATCTTTTGAATTGTTATGCACGTAATCTCATGGTAAATCGCCCTATTGAGATAGTTTTTTTATTATTCAACTCTATTCTAGAGAGTCCAACTTCATTTCCATGTTTCGAAGCTGGTCTGTGAACAACTTTGAAGTCGTGACTGCGAAGTCGTTGTATCAATCTCATCATTTGACAATCCGGGTTCTTTAATTTGTAAAGCCACGTAAGTGAACCATGATACGTTCTTATTTTGAAAAGACGACCAAGTATCCTATCACCCGCTCTTGTTCTTCTTCAACTTGGGAAAAACTGCTCCAATCTCGAAATGAACCGCGCCTGTATCCAATAAAAACTCCTCTCCGTCGATTTTTGGATATGCAAGTAAAAGTTGAAAACTTTACATTAGGTAAACGGAAAGTTGGTTCAGACCCACTTGTCCATTCCCAGGGAGTTTTTAACTGAAATAAATCAAAAAGACACTTAATCAATTTTCGAAAAATCCTTGATAAATCTTATGACACAATATGTCCGAGTTACTCTACCTTGTGTTTAAAATAAAACACTTCGCGGCTTTAAGCTTTGACCCAGCATCTGATAACCTCCGAAAGACCTTTCTGCAAATTACCTAAATGTTCATCGAATGGTTTTACCAAACAACATTATATCCTCTAGTTACAAAACTGGAACATACCACAGCAATCCTCGCTGTCTTAACAATATTTTGAAACGTGTTGCACATCCAAATGGCATAGTAACATCAGTGCGTCTATCTTATCCTCTATTATCGGAATCGGATAAACATCTTTGATCGTCTTATCATTAAATTCCGGGAAGTCAACACACAGGCACCACGAAATATATTGTATTGATACTAAGCCTGACGACCAAGGGCTATTGGACTTATATATTATCATCCAACTTCTTAATTACATCATCACTGGTTCGACATTCATAAAGAGAAATTCTTCTTTAAAGTTCCTTATCTATCAATTTGACACTATACATTCCAATTGTACTTTTTCCTGTCTCTCCTGTCGGATCATAGGAAGCATTTTTATACTTTAGCAGAATTTCATTAAACTTCTCGCTTTCATTTTCGGTAAGGTTTTCCAGCCGGCCATTCTTGTGCATATACTCTGGAATATGTCTTGACCTTTGTCCTTCTCCTGAACATACAGTTCCTTCTTCTGTAAATTCAATGGTATTCACAATTTTCTGAGCTGGAACATATTTTGCAATATGAGTTCTTTTGTGAAGATAACATCGGTATCACAAGAGTTCAAAGTTCTCGAACAAATATGTGAATGTGATGCATTCACTAAAACTCCTCCAATGGCTAATCATACTTCTTGATTCAGAATTCCCTTCCGCATAAACTTTCCTTGTGAGCTTTGCTTTCACAATACTTTCATGTCTCGCAGGAATGTCTAAGGTTTTCATTGCTTGAACACGACTAGATCGTATATTGACACATTTTTGATCAAGCGGATTCTAAATCCATTTATATCCAGGGATCCCAAATTCCATTGACATCGACATTTTGAGATAAGATATTCGAATAATAGATTTAGTTACACACCACTAACATTAATCGGAAATGTAGCACATAATTTGCCAAAACTAATGTTAAATACAGCCGTTTCTAAAATTTTCAATGTATTTTCATCAGTACTGTCAAATTGTGTTTCTACTCGGCTCAGCAAATGTTTACATTACGGCATTAGAGTATAGTAGCTTTCTTCTGTGATAAGTGTTCTTCTAGATCTGGTTTCAACTTCATAACGTTTGACTGTGATACTGCTTTTTCTCAGTCCGTTTTCACCGAAATCTGAAATAAACTACACTGGCTTTTATAATGTCCAATTTCACAATTATGTACCATTATCTTCAACATCCACTTTGCGATAATTAGGGCTGGCGTTCATGGACCACGCCATCCTTTTTGGGATGAGTTTTTGATTCTTTCTCTAGAATATGTATCCTTGTTCTTTGTTTCAACGGAAAACACACCTTTTTTACCGAATTATAATACCTTTCAGATAGCCAGGTTCATTATTCCTAAATTTGTACTCGACACGCCATCTTGTAATTTTTTTTATCGAGATATCTACCTGATAGTCTAAACTCCTCTAATGCACCACAAGCATCAGGAAAAGTCGTTATACTATTTTCTTGAGCTGTGTCTGGACTATCAGGATAAGCTAGTCTGTACAGGTCTTTAATTGATTGCCCCACATCCCTAAAAGACACAAGATTTGCGTTTTGTTAATTTTGCTTCAACAAGATACGATTCCTTCGAAGGTCCATTTTCTTCATGAATTTCATCATTTCGTTATATAACTATCCAATACTATAAGTAATTACGACTTATATTTGGTATATGGAAAGATTATAATGTGTAAATGTCAACAGAGTTCATATTACATTGACTTCATTCACATGGATACTTGATAATGTCAATTTTATGTGATGTATATTTGTAGTAAAGACCTTCATCTTAAAGACTTTCAACACAAATTTAAGCATGATTAGTATAGCAGTGAGACATTTCATTTTGTGCACTCATGTTGAATTTAAAAAAAAACGTTATAGGAAGGATACAGAATACAAGTTCAACCAAGAACGTACAAAAGTTGATGATAATGGAATGGTGTTTAAAATTCCAGTGGCAAATGTGACATGCATTGGAGAACAAGAACATATTAATGTAATATGAAGATGAACCCTGCTTTGTATTATACCAACACGCTGAGTCATATTCTAACGTGCTAGTTCACAAGGTAACAGTCCACAGGAAGACATGCCACCTTAGCCAGGCACATAATTCTAACACTTAACCGAGCAGTCTTTGCTTTTGTCTCCTAAATACCGCGGACTTAACCTAGTGAAACAGCAAATACCAATTTTCAAGTCTTTGGTTTGACACGGCCATGAATAACAGAAAGGAGATATATTTTATCTTACATTGTGACATTCGATAACTAAGCTATAAGTGTTCCTTGAAAAAAATATATTTGTTTCCTTCGTTGCATCGTTTAAATCTGACCTTTTACCAGTAGATTGTGTGAATTCTGATTCACGCTTTTTCTAATGGCAGCTTCATACATGTATTTTTTAGAAATCGTAGGTTATGGCCAAAAAAATGAGTCTTAACGCTCTAAAGGGCCAATTTAACCGTATCTTGAAAATAGTTTCTATTGAAACTATCCAGACCAGTTTCTCAGTTACATTCTATTCGAATTAACATCTTCTAATTTTAATCCCACTGTTTACAAAGACAATTATTCATACCAAAATTAACATCAAAACAATTTGTCGTTTTTTTGTTGCAATTTCCCTTTGTTTGTTGTCTTCCAATGATGTCATATGCCATCTTACTGTATCTCCAACTTGTTCCGGTCTGTGTTTTACATTTTGATGAATGTAAAATGAAAATAACTTGAAAGTTAAGACATCGTGATTTGTAAGACCGTTGATTTCTTTTTAACATTCTTTCATAGGTTCATAAAAATAAAGATGTACGTTCATGCCTCCCAAGTGCGTATGCTATAGGAGTTTGACGTACCGGTACTACTACTAGGTTTTTTTTAAGTCCTTGAATACATATTGGGTATCGCATGGTCGGTGAAATTAGATGTACTTTTTTATAGTCGTCGCCTCGTGATATTTTCCGAAGTAGTGGTTTTAGCATGACAATGATACCTTCATGATTTTGTTAATGATCATTACTATCAATCTTTACAATTATGATTGTTTTTATAAATTTATCTTGCCTTTTCCTGTCATTGTCAGTGCGACTAGCTAGGTTATCATAATTAAATATTAGTAAAGAAATAGAATGTGATGTAGTATATCATGAGTAACGACAGTCATAATGAACTCAAATAAGTAAATGTCTTTAATAGAAAAACAAAGGATATGGGGTATCCATCCATGACATAAAATCAGTACATGCACAGCAAAAAAACCCAAAAAATACAAAGGAACAGCGCTTTTATTGCTGTTCTTGTTCTCAAAGTCACAGTTGTTTTGTTTGTCTTTAGTTTTCTCTGCGTTTATTTGTTATCTGCATTCGTCTAACTTTACCATACTAAACTCCAAGCTCTGTTAACTGAAGAATATTGATAATTTCAAGGTATTGTTGCTTAGCATCAAAGTTCGACATGATTGCAGCACTGGGTCATTTCGGACGCATGAAATTAATAACGTGTTGTTTTCATTTCTTTTTTAAGAGTGTCACAATTCATAATAATGTTGATTTCGATAAGTTGCTTTGTAACCACTGTCGCGATATTGACGATAAGATGCCAGATAATTTATTAAGTTCGCTTTCAAAAACTAAACATTCGGCTTTTTGTTACTATACTATACCATTGAGGACGTTAGTCCGATGTGGTATACCTAATCTACTATGACCACGACATTATGGTTAAGGCATTATGGTATCGTTCAATAGTTTGGGTTAGGTTAAGCACGATAAATGCAGGATTTCCAATTACAATTAATGGTATCCAAGTGTAAACATGAACAAAAGGAGATGTGAGGAATATGCCAACGAGAAAGCAAAAATAAAATTTTAAAACTTAAAAGACAATGCAAATCTAAAGGTCAACACACGTACGGTCTTCAAAAATCGACAAATGACAATACAACATATCAAGCTGTAGTTTCTAGCATAAACAAATATTTATTTTCAAAACCTATAAAAATCAAGCATCCAAATCCTCTACATGACAACAACATTCAAAAATAACTTCAAACAACCGCTTACGAGGTTTCTGGTTTGAGACAGACTTATGAACATGTGGAGAGGTTAAGCAAGCTTTTCAATATTTTAACCTCCGATTTAAAAAACAAAATGTATATGTTTAGTGAAACTTAATTGTTATACCGCCGATGTCAAAACATTCCAGTTTGATTCGCAATAACATTGTGCTGCTACGTTCCTGAGATGATTTGTTGAAAAATTGTTTAATTTATTCCAACGGTTTTATTTTGATTCTAACACGGTTAACATTAATAATGTTTGAATTGGTTGCTAGTTATTAGCTTAACGTCCAGTGGTAAACATTTCATGCATGTTCACGAAGGGAACATATAAAACAATATGTCAAACAATAATTACTGTAATTACATTTTTATAACTATGTTGATGATCAAATAGTTGCTCTCAATAAAAGTTATATAACTTGTAGCTGTTGACGACGAACGATAATTCGAGAAGAACTGGTAGCCTATATAGATTTTTGTTACTATATAAATGTTCAAATTGTCAAATTGTTGTTTTCAATAAAAGTGACATACAGGTTACCTGTTAGGGACGACGATAATTTGAGTAGAATTGGCTTATTGTTGGTATGAAGATATCCCTCGTATAGCGTACTTTCGTCCTAGTTAACCTGTTATTTTTAGTAATTTCGTTTTTTTTTTCTCTCCCACATTTCCTTATCAGAATAATTAACCTCCACATACGTCACGGTAATGATCATTACATCATCTCGATTTTAAGGAAATATATTCATATTTCCTTCTTTTTATTGTAAACAACATCAAAATGCGTCATCCTTTTTTCCCGCTTTTTGACAAGGTTTTAAAGGTTAAGTTTGGAGATAGGAAGAAAAAGTTGATACATGTTTAACATCTATTAGAGGTAATTTATGCTTTGTCAGAATCAATCAACATTTTACTTAAAATTGTTGAAGTAATAATCTTAAAAGCCTGGGTTATAAGTGTCGCTTTAAACATAACAAATTAGACATAAGGTGAAAGGTGAATGTGTTTAGTTATATTTCACCTGCTGATTGTAAAAAGTTCCCCCGGATGTCTTCTTGATTTAATGACACAAAAGTATATAAATATGAGTTATATGCATACCGAGGTTTATGTTATTTAATCTGAATCATCTATTTATTTTCCAGTTAAAAGAAGGACAAGGAACACAATGACCAAACTGGTATGAATTTATATATATATTTGTAATATTTTTCTAACAGTATAAAGTACATCAAGTTCAATTCTATACTAATAAACATTAATTGAAGATTGGAGAAGGTGTCACTATTAATTCAAAACCTCGATCTTAAAAAAAATGCAATGCATAAATAGACAAAGAATATTAAAATGTAAGGACAAGCTTGTCTTTTGATAATGATTAGCCTCACCTGAATTCTTTCCAGCAACTCTCAAGATGAGGAAAAGTAACATAAGTGCTACTACTAAATGTTTCATGTTTTGGTCAGTTTTTAGCACTGAGTCGATAACGGTGCTGAACTGTTAGTTCGCGATGGTGTCATCAGCTCAATAGTTAGTATTTTGATACTGACATGATTTAAAACATACTTTTCAGAACTTCTCCGTTCGATAATGTAGAAACTACTAAGAAACGAAGGTTCCATCTCCCTTCAACAAAGTTGATCTAAAATGAATTGGGCTATTCTTTTTATGACACTTTTGATCAATTTCCACTTCACGTGTTCAGACTTACAAAATATTTTTGGGGGGTTGAGCGTTCCGGTTGAAGGAAATTCAGGAAATCGCACACCGGACGCACCGAATTTATGTCTAGTATTATTTTCATTATTGTTTTATGTATTTTCGCCATGTATCTTTTTGTGCAAGTACTATAGAGATTTTTTCACGCTTGAGTTCCTTTTAATAGCTTCTTTTTTGGAATGGGTTTCTTTCTGTCGAAATTCAAAGTGTGACACGTAAATATTTTGATAATAACTAAAAGTCAAAAAATATATGGTCATTCCAAATAACATCCTTGTCATATCTGTCGAACGAAATGCATATTATACGGAATAGAAACAGCAAACAAATAAAAACGACGCAACCGTTTTACCGACCTATTCATTCAGAAAACACTTGGGTCTTTTTTACAGCTTGCTTTATTGAGATGGGGCTTATTCTGTTGAAAGCAATAGTATGACCTTTAGAGGTGAAGATATTTTGATAATAACTGATAGCTAAAATTTTATTGTATAACAGCCTTGGGAAAATCATTCAAAATATCGTCATTGTCATATCCATAAGGAAAGAAACGTACAGTATAGAAAGAGCAAACGAATAAAACGGCACACCCATATTCCCGCCGCACCCATTTAGAAAGCAAAAATAAAACACAATGTGTAAATGATTCTATACATTGGAGTTCGAACTAAAAAAAGAGATTGCCACTCCATCAGACAAATTTTTCCTTGTACAGTTCAATTGTTCTGGTTTGACATTGTTTGACTTTGATACACCGTAAGTTCTTTGCAACTACTTTTTGTATATCCTAAACACTATAGTGTCTTCCGCCACGAATTAGGCATCGTTTTTTGTATTAAACTAAACAAATTTCTTCTATGAGTCTTTCACTGCAGAATTAGATGGCATCAAAAGTCGCTCAAAATTGCAAAACGAACACTTCTGATTAAAATCGCGAAACTTGAAAGTCAAAAGAGTACATAAACTTTTCAAATCTATTAAATTTAGAGACGATTGTTGCGAGCCAAACCTTCTCTGAAACTACAAAATGAAGTTATGTTATGTGACATTGTTTGTCACGTACGATATGTATAACAAGTATGTTCTCAAATTAAAAAAAAAATAAGACAATCTTAAAAACAAAATGGAAAGCGGAAAACCTAAATGCTATGTTTTTGTGCACGTGTAATTATAAAGATTTAAATTCATTTTTTTTGCGAACAGGTTCTATCTGTTATCTTTTTCTAATTATGAAATTTTGTTTTACTTTCCAGGAATCTCCCGGTATTATACTTTTAATTAGCGTGGTGTGTGTGTTAGTAAATGTAGATTGTTATCCTGGGTTTAGAAAGAAGATACCAAATGGAAACTTTGTCCCTTGTAATTGTTCAAACCATGCTAGTATGTACTGGGTAGCTGTTGGACATTATAGTATTAATGAAGGTACACTCAGGAAAAACCCGTTTGGAATCGTAAGTATATAAAGGATAGTAAAGATAAACAATTATATGAATATTTAAATAACTTATGGTTTATTTTACTGGACAACAGTGACTTCGAAAGATAACAATGACCCCTGTAAACACCTGTTAGTACCGATGAAAACAATATTTTTAGAAATTATAACGGGGTTAAATGGATAACCTTTAAGAATAAATTTATTCAAATGAACCAATCGGTATCCACATTATATAGATTCAAATGGAACTGATTTCAATTTGTGTAGGACTTCCGACAAAATGGAACGAGATGGACACAAAGTTTGTGCAAAGGGGATTCAGATCGTGATGGTAAATCAAATGGAGAAGAACTAGGAGATCCAAACTGCACATGGAAAGAGGGACAAACACCCGATTTTCCAGCAACAGGACACCCAGGTACTTATTTTTTGGATCTGTAAATATTCTGATTCAACATATTGATTCGTTTAATGTTTCAAACAACCATTGGTTCGTTGTGAATCTGAAACGACCCCCTTACTGTACGTGCGATCATACTACCAGAATGGTATTGTTTCAAAAGATTAGTATGAATTCAGACGGCAAATGTCCCCTCTGTTTTCGCAATGGGAACGATTACGGCAATAATGGCAAAAATGTCAAAATGTCAAAAATTATTTTAATGGTTGTATATAGAACATGATATACAAAATTGGCGTCAAAGCTATTTTTTTCGTTATTAAGATTAGTATCTGCAACAACCATCTGCTGATTACATTACATTACATTACTTTATGAACATTGTCATCTTTATATTTCAATTTACGCTATGGTGCCATTAAAGTTATAGATAATCTGATTGAGCTCCTTAACACATCTAAAATTCAAGTAGACAATAGTACCTCTTAGTAAAAAATCTTAAATTTTTACTGCTTTTGACCATACACCGCTAATTGGTTCTAAACTACGATTTTCAGCCAATAAACATCGTGGAATATTTTACATGATTGAACATTTTTTAAAATAATTTTTATCTTCGGTATAAGAGAAGGGTATTTTGTCACAATATGTTTGTTAATATGAGTAAAGTGAGATGAGACATCAACCCCATCAACCACATATCAACATACAGTCTCAAACAATAGACATGCAGCATATAGTTAATACCCGCCATCAAAAGAAAAACAAACAAAATCAATAAAACAAGAAAAAAAAAAAACACACATTTTGTAACATTGAATTATTCAATTAATCTGCAAGTAACATAATTCATACTTCACTCAAGCTTAACTTCAAATACTTTGAAGGTAACCTCGTATTGTGTATGTTATACAACAATGATCTTTGATAGGGCGCAAGAAAGAGCATCGTCGTAATATTCGATTTTCCCTTATTATTTCTATAATTTGAATATATTTTGTTATGTGATGAAATTTATGAGTGTATATTAGGGAATCTGCATAGTCACGTTAATGACATTCCAAGGAGAAAGGTAGTGTAATACTAATTGTCCAAGGTTGGAGGACAAACTAAATTAAAATAATTGGATGTGATTCGGAATGACAATCCGTTCCTGGCTAAACCTTTCTCGACACATGTCTTGTAATTACATTTCATTGACGAGATAAGGAGAACGGTATATGAGCCGATTGCGATCGATACAAATAGATTCTCTCCAATCGCATACATTTGTCATATGCATCAATTTTAAATCGATTGCAATCGATTCTGATTAAATGCAATCGATCTGTGATTTTGGTATGAATGAGTGGTATATTAAGGATGCCTTGCATTTATACATTCTTTGTATATTTTACTTATTATATTTTAGGTATTTGTGAACCAATAGGAAGTAAATTCTGCAAAGACAGAGGACAGTTGTTTACATGTGACTGTTTGGAAAAGGGGCAATCCTGTCCGATTAACTTGAATGAAAAAAATTGAAATGAAAATATTTGCTAAACGAAGACTTTTGCTGTCAGTGACGGATTTAAAGCTTTTCATTTGCGTTTTTGTATGGAGAATATAATGTGTTCGAATGCTGGATCATTGAAACACAATTCAGAGACGTTGTGACAAAAGAGCACAGTTATCACGCGCCCAGTTAAAAATAAATGTGCACATTAATTAATTAACTAGCAGACGAGAACTATTTAATGCAAGTCGCCTATCAACCGGCTGGCAAAGACTGAAGATGTTCTAACTGTCGGGATTATCGACGTTTGGAAATTATCATAATATATAAAGACATTTTCCACCAATCGCAGCAAATACAACATTATACCAATTGACTGATAGTAATTATTCTTCCTTTCTCACAAAACCTGCCATAAATTGAAAGAATGCTATTATTAAATAAGTGAAACTTTTTGTATCTTTGATTTCTCAAACCTAGCTGCAGACCTATATTACGAAAATTAACCCATCTACACTCTAGATAAAAAAAAATCCTTAAGTTTGTCAACTGGGGAAAGGAGACCCATAAAGTGTGCATGAAACGTGCATTTAAAATACTCATATATATATAATGACATACATGTATTCGTAACTTTTTTATGTCTTATGCTATGTTTAATAAATGTATATATGTAAATTATTAAATGTCAACATTTTCAAATGACAATAAACATTTGAAAATAATCCTTGTGTATATTTTACATATGATGCTCGTAAAAAGAAGCAATCTTGATGTTAAGATATACTTACAGTATTTATGTTTGGTAATATAAGGTAATGTTGGTAAAGGTTACAAAAATTGTCTAAATTTCCAATTTTCGTCGGTTTTAAATTTTGTTATCAAAGCGCGAAAGCGCTGGAAAAGGCATTCTCCATATATTAAGCAATACACATGCGTGCAGGTATGTCCCTTTTTAACAAGATTATATCCATTATCGCAAGTCACGAAATATTTTCATAACAAATATCACCGGTTTAACAAGGATTTTTCTTTTTTACTATACAAATCCTTGTGTATATTCATATAACAATTATCAGTTGTGTTAAAAAAAAAACCAACAACACTATAACCAGTATCAAATAAAAAATACAACGATTTACTGCCACTTGATGTAGTAAAAGAAACTTGGTATCGTAAATCAGATTTCATTCATAGTTCATCATAATATTGAAATTTTAAGTCTTTATTTATTGTCTCGGACTCGAGTATCGATTCTGAACTTCATTACATTATATCCATATAAATATATATGTACAGGAGCCTGTAGTTCAGTGGTTGTCGTTGGTTCATGTCTGTCATATTTGTTTTTCGTAAATTGTTTTGTTATAAATTAGGCCGTTAGTTTTCCCAATTGAATTGTTTTATATTGTTCATGTCATATTTAATTTGAAAAAAACAGCCTGCCAAAGTTTGCATCGGGAATAGGGCCGATATTTAGCTGACAATCATGGGTAGAAAAGAGACTGCTTACGACAAAAAAAATACATTTACTGTATCACTGCGCTTGGAAACAGGTCTGCTTAATCGAATTAAAATAAATTTCAATATGAAATCAAGCAAAAACATACTTTTACTCGATCTTTAAACAACGAAAGAAGTATAAGCAATCACAAACCTGTGCACTCTATTTTAGGTAATCAATCGTCAACATAATCGCCGTGACATGTGTGACACAATGCTAATAAAAAGCAAATGTCTTTTAAAAAATGATGTTCGTAGGACAAAGCAAAATAAATTACCTAACTGGTGTTTTTTTTTTAACTCTATATGTTTTTACTATTGTTGTTGTGCTTTTTGTTACTCGTAAACCAAAAAACTGAATAAAAAATGGAAAAGTAGATTACACAAACGGATATTAAATTCACCTAGAAGGAAGATGACAATGCAGAAAGCTATTTCAGTTTTAACACCATCTTACTTTTTCTATTTAAGCTTTTGGAAATTTAGTTGCAAATTTTATCACCATAGCGTTCCCCAAATACAATCCAACCGTTTGTCAATGAGTATACACTTAATTAATGTGGTTCTGAGCCTTTTTATGATATTGTCAAAATCATATACCAAAACGTCCATGATTTTACATTTGTGAGAAAGGCAAACAAAAACGGATATTTACTGCTCATAAAATTCCAGAAGACTAAGAAAAAAAAAACGCCATCAAAAGTAAATTAACCAAATCTAAACGTATACGAGATGTAAAATAAACAATTACACAGTCATCACAACCTAGGAATTGCCAGTATATTTAAATATAATATTCTTTGGCACAACTAATATACATATTTTTGGTGTTTAACGCCACTTTCAGCAACAAGGGATATTTCGTGGCGGCCAGTGTTTATGGGTAGAGGAAGCCGGAAATCCTAGTCAATAGCTAATATAAGTTAGAAATTCTGAAATTGGTACAGAAAAATGTCATTAAGCAAGGTTGATAAGATTAAAAGTAATATCAAAAGGACAAGCAAAACACTAATAATAATAGTACATGAGGGTGTGGATGGGGGTTTACAGAATAGAGAATAATAGACAAAAATATAAAGAATAGAGAAAAATGGACCAAAAAAAAAAAAAGAATAGAGAATAGTGAGGTGCTAGAATATAAAGAATAGAGAATAATGGGCAAAAAATATAAAGAATAAAGCAATATTGCCTAAAAAAACTAAAGAATACAGAAATGGAGGACCCCCAACTAGACCCTCGTACATGATCTGTAACAACATTAATACTAAACGAATAATTGCAAAAAATAAGTTTAACAGAGAAGAACTGAAACAATGAGAACAGTTATTTTTTTTATGTCCAGTACGATGACTTAGTTAGATGAAAATAGAAAAAATACAACACGTACCTATGTGATAAATTCAAGGTCAAGGATTGTATTGATATAAAATTAAAAAGCTGTATTCAAAGACAGAACAGATCAATTATTAAATATTATCATAATATATAAACATGTATATTCAAGACAAAAAGTACAAAAAAATAATTAATAAAAAAGAAACTATAAGTTTTTGTAATTTGACTGAGTAGGTACAAGCTTACAGGCAGTTATTAATGTCCATTAATAATATTAGTATATAGTTAACGATAATTTATATATATAAAAATGTTTTAAGTCATATATAGTGAAATAAATTATTATTAATGAACATCTAAATTTGTACATCTCATTAATGGAACATTTACTGACATCATAATCATTAGTGCGAAATATGAGATAGAAATTTTAAGATATGAAAGATTATAAAAAGAACGAATGATATCTGAAGTTTTCTGATAAAATCTATTTTTCAACTCGTCAACTGCTCCTGTACCTTTAAAAAGGTTAAGGTTCATCAGATGGATTGCATCACAAAATATACTCCGAGTACAGGACAGACCCTCATGTCCCCTTTTGGTCATTGCATTGTCCATTTCTCTTCCACTTATGGGTTTTATTGCCCCACTCGGTATCTTCTCCTTCTTTTTAACCTGACCGTTGAAGTCTGAAATTAAGGTTATGGCCATAATCCTTATGAATCCTTACACTAATTTATATTATTATAGACAACTTTTGTAGTATGACTTAAATTTACAAATATAAACTCATAAATCAATGAAGCGTCAAAAATAGGTCAGAGTTTGATGAAGCTGTTATTCACTTGTGGATACAGAAGCTAGTTTATTATGAATGTAACTATCCTTGCAACAAGTTTATAGATAAGTAGATTTCTGATCTGACTACAAAACCCGGACAAAACAATGATTACAAATACTGTAATGATAGTAATCATATATTCCTAAGCCTCGGGTAGATACAGCTGTGTGATTGTAAGACCCCGATGGTTTCATTAGCCAAGTAGTTGCTTTGCAACTGACATGTTGACGACTTCGATGTACTCCAATATTCACCGTTTTCGTCTGTTTGATGACAGGAATTTTTCCTCTCATATTTTCATCTAAAACAGCACCATACCGGTCATTTTGAAGAAGAAAAAAACCCTCAAGGGTTGACAGGGGTATAGAAAATGTGGTAATGCCGGGACTTCTCCTATTCTTCAGTGATGTTTTTGCTATCGTACGACTCCCACTTTGGCTGTACCAGATATATAAATACGCAACCACGTCCAGTCGGAATTGGGATGTTAAATCTGATGCCTTATACAGGGAACCTAAAGATTTGTACAAAAGCAAAATATGTCTACCCCTATCCAACATATCATAATTTTTTTATTGACTGCCCAAATTTATTTCATTTTTTTGGTGATTGTTGTACGTTTGTTTTTTCTACATTGGCTAGAGGTTTAGGGGGAGGGTTGAGATCTCAAAAAACATGTTTAACCCCGCCGCATTTTTTGCGCCTGTCCCAAGTCAGGAGCCTCTGGCATTTGTTAGTCTTGTATCATTTTTAATTTTAGTTTCTTGTGTATAATTTGGAGTTTAGTATGACGTCCATTATCACTGAACTAGTATACATATTTGTTAAGGGGCCAGCTGAAGGACGCCTCCGGGTGCGGGAGTTTCTCGCTGCATTGAAGACCCATTGGTGGCCTTCGGCTGTTGTCTGCTCTATGGTCGGTTTGTTGTCTCTTTGACACATTCCCCATTTCCATTCTCAATTTTACCTTGTTCTCTTCTCGTTCTGAATATTTATGAAATATTTGTCGCTGGACATTCACTGGTGTAACAAACTATAAATACTTAAAAAAATAATTTTCAGGGTGTCAGCATTACTCAGACTATATTTCTAATATTTTTAGAGATATTTAGTTTAAACAAGTTTGCTTTTCTGTTATTTTTTCTTTTTGTTGTTGGGGAGGGGCATTATTTTCATTTTCGCATTTGAGTGTATCCTTAAAAATATGTAGTGTGTACTAGTATTTTATTGGTGTTATATAGTAATTAAAATATTATCTCCTTTTATACACCAATGCTTCTGAATTAACCTTCACGTATGATAAAAATCAATTAAATATTGAACATATTCCATTTCTTAATTATCGATTCATCAATGTAAAAATAAGAGTCACGTGTAGTCTGCCGTCACATATCTATTTATACTTTTAACCTTCCTGGTTCTTGACATCATTCATTAAATCAGGTTAAATTTGATTAATCAAATTACATTCAATTTGCCTGTTATAGCTTTAATATTTCACACACCTAGTTATCCTCAGCACCTGAATTCAACTCCATCTTGTTGAGGTTCTTGTGTTCCTGAACTGAATTCCTGAGAGGCCATATACTTGTGAGTTATCTGTTGTCATTTTGTGGTGTTACTATTAGTTCATGTATTAGTCCGGCCATATAATTAGCTCACCTGGTCCAAAGGTTTATATTTAAAATTCAAAACAGTAAGAGCAAAACTGACTAGAAAAATTGTCAGCTGGAAAGTATATCTAGTTTAAAAATAACGTTTTAGCAAAATGACAACCTATATTGGATTTATTGCCCCTGAAATGTCCATTTTCAGCAAATTTCGCAGTATTGGTCATTATCTTGAAAAATGTTATCGATATAAAGAAATTTTTATGATAGAAGAAATGACCGGGAAAAAAATATATCTACAAATGATTATTTATGTTCATATCGGCAACGGTTGCCTCGTGTGGAGCAGGATCTGCTTACCCTTCCGGAGCACATGGGAACACTCCTGGTTTTTGGTGGGGTTCGTGTTTTCCGTCTTTACTTTTCTATGTTGTGTTTTGTATACTGTTATTTGTCGTTTGGTCTTTTTCTTTTTTGCCATGGCGTTGTCAGTTTATTTTCGACTTCTGAGTTTGAATGTCCCTTTGTTATCTTTCACCTCTCTTTTGACCCGTTATAGAGATTATTTCACTTGAAAAACAATCTTTACCCATTTTGTGTTTCTTTTTTCGAAGTTATGATAGATAATGAAAAATTGGAAATAGAAAATATGATGAGCAAAATAAGATCTACAAATAAATTTACATGGCCGAAATATTTGACCCCTTTAAAGGTATTTATTGCCCTTGATTAGAGATTTTCATATAATTTTGCATTTTTTGAAGAAACCGTAATGGAAAAAAGTGAAACCGTTCCAAGCAAAAATGAGATCTACAAATAAGTGTACATGACCGAAGTAGTCAACACGACTCTTTGTTGGAGTTATTGCCCCTGAATGATGAATTTTACCAATTTTTTTAATATTGGGGGTAAAAAACTATAGTAGACTGAGAGAAGCTGTTAAAAAAAATTATCAGCAAAATAAAATCTACAAATAGTTAAACTGGCCAAAATTGCCAGTTCACTCGTTAAAGCACTGATTATATTTTTTTTAACCAATTTTAGTGCTTTTTACCTTCTATTTTTAAAACTGCGAGAGCATTAAGTTGTCGTGTAGGACGTTAAACACCCCTAACTTACCGGCTTTCTCTAAAAGAGATGCCAAAGATACCAAAGAGACATTCAAACTCAAAAGTCGAAAAACTTTACATAGCAAATATAATGAACAACACAAGATCTAAAAATAAATTAGTTGGAATTAAATTGGCAATAGTCCCCTTACTGGATTTGTTGCCCTTAAATCCCAATCAATCCATTTTTTAAAATTCTGCTTTTATATTTAAAACAATGAAAGATATAAAGAAATTGGTCCAGCTAAAATGATCAGCAAGACATATTTTGTTTTTGCTCATACAGTTTCCATTCAGCACAAGTATTCTTCTTGCAAGGCTTACCATTTTTGTCAATGCCAGCTAAGCGATACAGGTTCCTTGCAGCGTAAAGTTTTATTTTTTAATAGCAGATAGAATTACAGATGACACTGTAGAAGCATCCTATTAATTTAAGCTTTTACTCTGAAACATAAAAAACTCCCTAAAACAATTGATTGAAGTTGTACGTAGGTGGCCTGATGCAATGCCAAAGTCTTGTCCAGGTCCAATTTTCCCTTACTTCCCAGTGGTAGTCGAAGTTTTCTGCCCATCCATCCCGGTTGAGCCACTTTGCAGTGTATCCTCATATCATATACTGCTTGATTTGTTTGTCCTCAGTATACAAAAACATGTTGCACTGCACATTTAGGAATTGAAGAAAGCAATCAATCTTACAGTGACCAGATAGGTGACGGTAAAGCTTTGTGAATTTGTCATAGAAATACACATAAATGTATGATAACAATTAGAAATATCAGTAAAAGTGTGCATTTATTGTATATCTGTATACGGCAGACCAAGAATAGGAAGTAACGCAATTTCAAATGCAGATTTCATTCTATATAAAAATAAGGAGATGTGGTATGATTGCCAATGAGATAACTATCCACCAAAGTTCAAATGACGAATATAATAGTTAGTTCAACGTACAGCTTTTAACAATGGAGAAGAACCATACCGTATATTCAGCTACAAAAGGCCCCGACATGAAAAATGTGAAACAATTTAAACGAGAAACATAACGGCCTGATTTATAACAAAATAATTAATAAAAACAAATATCACAGACATTAATCAGTGATAATCACTGTACTACAGGCTCCCGACTTGGGACAGGCGCATACAGAATGTGGCGGTGTTAAACATTTTGACTATTTTGAATATCTTGTTCAATTAAAAAGAAAGAAATATTACCGTTTTTGCACTTATTTGAAATGTACATACATTTTAACACGGCCATACATGTCATCCAGTATAGGCTATCGAACATTCCTACCGGCATTGTCAAATTCTAGTGTCAAGTAACACTTACTACTGGACACAACCTGATTTAAATACAGACCGTATGTCAACTTTTCGCTTTCAATTTAAGCAAAACGTGGAGACATGTCCGATTTATATATTTTTTTTTAAATCAGATTGTACTGGATAGGATATACCTTATGAATCTTTGGTTTTATCATTCATGATAAAGTTACCCTGTCGACGTGGTCTCCTTTTCATTTGAAGTTTATGCTATTCCGACTGTTTTTCGTCTGAAAAAAAGCCTTAAATTAGAAAGGGGGTAGGAGGGGGTCTCATTTCGAATTCCCGGGAAAAAAAATGCCAAATCCCGAATACCCGTGAAAATACTATGTCCATTCCCGCATCACTATATGATTAAATCCCTAATTCCCGACGATTAAAATGGCTTTCACGAATTCCCGCGAATTAAACTGCTCAATCCCGATTTCCCGAAAAAAAGTCCTTCCGCCCCTCTTGAATGTAATTAGTTTTTGTCTAATAAAAACAAAATGGCATATAGACAAAGCACAAATTGAATGTGAAATGTTTCATAAGGGTGAGAGTCACGAATTTTACGAAAGCATTCTTTATACCCCACACTTCACAACAATATAACAATATTGGTGATATAACTGAGTCACAAAGTTTCTCTAAGAGTTTACATGGATTGTTGTACTGAATTGTTTTTTTTTTATTTTGAAATAAGCATTAGACCTAAGTAACAATATTGATTGACAGTATCTATGACATTTGGAGAAGCTCCAGTATGAAGACAGCCTCACATGAATAAATGAACAAGTCGGCAAGAAGAAGAGCACAATTGGTTCCCATTGGATAGGAATAGCGATTGTTTGTTGAAAAACACGTCCTCCAAATGTAACAAATATGTTTTCAATCAAGAAATCGGATATCTTGATAAGACAAGATACTTGTATCTACATTGTTCATTTTTTTATGAAACAAAGCAGGACCAATTCTTTCAATTTGTGTTTAAGTTTTCTAAATGGCTTATTGCGTTTAACTTAAATATAGCCATTATTACAATTATACTATGACAGTCTTCTTTTCTCTGGCAAAATAATGCTTTAAAAGTTAAAATTGGCAAAAATCTGAGATTATCCTTTGCGTCCAAAAAGCGTTCTTAAGTTGCCCATATTTAGCCTCCTTGTTCAGTTTAACTTTGTGCGTAATTTAGACTAAAGGTCATCTGATTATTGATCGAGATGACTTCCGAAGACTGCCGGCGGTCAAATAACCCGATACATTATAAATATAAATAGACATGCAGGCACGCACGTGCAATTATATAATGACGGTTTGCATAGATCTGTTTGGTTTCATGCTACAGATTGAAATATATGTATATCATCGTTTTATCTGTATATAAGAATTATTTTTTATGGGCCGGATCAGTCAACGACATCGATATTCCTGGTGTCTCCTTTGTTTCTTTTTTCAATGTTGACATTTTTTTATTAATGAATTAACCACATGGTAAACACATGCACAACTGATCTCCACTAAGGTCAAAATTAAAGGTTGTATGAATCGGATTCAAGTGAGGTTGAATTATTGACTTGCAATTTAATATGGTTTTATCCTTTCTTAAGCACCTTTGTTTCCCAATTATTATTATCAATTTTAAGGAACCAGTTATGATGTTTGATGAAACGAGAACTGGGATATATAAATCAACCACTTTAAACAATGGATATGTATACTTACTACACAAACCTTGTTTAAACCAACTGCTATTGCAATTTGAATAATGGAATTTTCTTATTTTCAGCAGATCAAGACTTAAATGGCATCATCCAGCACAGTTTCATGTGGTGTTTGTGACTCTCAGCACACGACAACAAATGCTGACTACTGGTGCCCTGAATGTGATGAAGGACTGTGCTCCCAATGTCTGAAATATCACAATGCATCGAAAGCCTCACGTTACCATGATGTTATATCTGTCGACAACTATAGACAATTACCTCCCTCAAAGCCAATATATCACCATACTGTTCACAGCATGACAGAAAATTCAAGAATTATTGTCCGCAACATGAAAGTATCTGTTGTCCACGGTGTATTCAGTCCAATCATGCTAATTGTGTTGGAATATTATCGCTGGAGAATGTCATACAGACAGCAAAGACTTCAGTCTTATTGAAAAGTCTTGATGAAAATCTGAAATATATCAAAATGAATGCCGAGAGAGTTGTAAAAGATCGAAAACAAAATCTTGTTGAAATCCATAATCAAAGGCAGAAATTTCACGATGAAATAAAACAGGTCCGTAATAAAATTAATGAGCACCTTGACAGTTTAGAACAACTAATACTTCAGGATCTATATGCTGCGGAAGAGAAAGTTAAATCACAAATAGAAGACTTATTGGGAAAACTTGCTGAACATACGGAAAAAT